TGGCCCCGTGCCCTTGCAGGACGCTGGGATCAGCAGCTCGGGGCCCCCTGGCACCTACAAGCCCTACGACGAGGGCCTGAGGCGAGGGGTGTTCATCAGGAACGCCACGGGGCAGCCCCTGGTCGGGAAGGTGCGTGTGGGGAGCAGCCCCTGTGCCCACAGACAGGGCTCGAGTGGCTGCAGCACCCCCAGAGTGGGGGAGAAACCTCTGGGGGGCCGTGGGGGAAGGTGGGGGCTCTGCCCAGCGCTCTCCCTCCTGCAGGTCTGGCCAGGCCCCACGGTGTTCCCGGACTTCACCAACCCAGAGACTCACGAGTGGTGGCACGACATGGTGAAGGACTTCCACGATCAAGTGCCCTTCGATGGCATGTGGCTCGTGAGTGGCGCTGTGCGGCTGCTGGCCCTGGCTCCCGCCCTGCCCTGTGCTGGCACCGGGGCCACCCTGCCCTTCCCTCCCCTCCCAGGACATGAACGAGCCGTCCAACTTCGTGGAGGGCTCCCGGGACGGCTGCCCCAACAACAACCTGGAGCATCCCCCGTACGTGCCAGGTACAGGGGCGGGTCCCAGCCCTGCCCAGGGCTCGGGGGAGCGGGAGGAGCCCGGGGATGCTCTGAGCTCCGCCTCTCCCCCGCAGGTGTGTTCGGGGGCCGCCTGCGGGCCGGCACCATCTGTGCCTCCAGCCAGCAGTACCTGTCCTCTCACTACAACCTGCACAGCCTGTACGGGCTGAGCGAGGCCATGGCCTCCCACAGGTGAGCTGGGGCTCCTGCCGGGGCTCCTGCACAGGCTGGGGTGCAGAGCTGGGAGAGACCCAGCGTGGGCGGTGGGTGAGGGCTTGGTGTGGCACACAGGGCACTGTGGGAGCCCTGAGCCCCTTCCCCAGCTGGGGGGGGCTGAGCAGACCCCTCCCACTGGCAGTGCTCTGCTGAGGGTGCGGGGCAAGCGTCCCTTCATCATCTCGCGCTCCACCTTCGCCGGGCACGGCCGCTACGCCGGGCACTGGACGGGGGATGTGGGCAGCGACTGGCAGCAGCTCTACTACTCCATACCAGGTATGTATAGATACCTGTGGGCACTGGGGTTCACCCGCAGCCAGGGGCGTCTCCACTGGCTCCGTGCCCGGGTGCTGCAGAGCCCTGGTGCCCTCTGTGCCCTCTGCAGAGGTGCTGCTCTTCAACCTCTTCGGGGTGCCCCTGGTGGGTGCCGACATCTGCGGCTTCCTGGGCGACACCAGCGAGGAGCTGTGCGTGCGCTGGACCCAGCTGGGCGCCTTCTACCCCTTCATGAGGAACCACAACGACCACGGCACCCGGGTGAGCCCTGGCAGCCCTGACCCGCCGGGCAGGGGGCTCTGGGCCCAGCCTGGGCTGCCCTGCCAGCGTGGGAAGGTTCAGCTGCAGGGCTGTGTGCCCCAGTGCTGGGAGAGTCCATCCTGCATCCCTGAAATGTGCCCTCCGTTCGTTCCTCCCCACGTGGGCTGAGCATCCCCTGGGGCCGTCCCCTTCTCATGGCTGAGCATCCCCTGGGGCCGTCCCCTTCCCTTGGGCTGAGCATCCCCTGTGCCATCCCCTTCCCTTGGGCTGAGCATCCCCTGTGCCATCCCCTTCCCTTGGGCTGAGCATCCCCTGTGCCATTTCCTTCCCTTGGACTGAGCATCCCCTGTGCCATTCCCTTCCCTTGGGCTGAGCATCCCCTGTGCCATCCCCTTCCCTTGGACTGAGCATCCCCTGTGCCATTCCCTTCCCTTGGGCTGAGCATCCCCTGGGGCCGTCCCCTTCTCATGGCTGAGCATCCCCTGTGCCATTCCCTTCCCTTGGGCTGAGCATCCCCTGGGGCCGTCCCCTTCTCATGGCTGAGCATCCCCTGTGCCATTCCCTTCCCTTGGGCTGAGCATCCCCTGTGCCATTCCCTTCCCTTGGACTGAGCATCCCCTGTGCCGTCCCCTTCCCTTGGACTGAGCATCCCCTGTGCCATCCCCTTCCCTTGGGCTGAGCATCCCCTGTGCCATTCCCTTCCCTTGGGCTGAGCATCCCCTGTGCCATTCCCTTCCCTTGGGCTGAGCATCCCCTGGGGCCGTCCCCTTCCCTTGGGCTGAGCATCCCCTGTGCCATTCCCTTCCCTTGGACTGAGCATCCCCTGTGCCATCCCCTTCCCTTGGGCTGAGCATCCCCTGGGGCCGTCCCCTTCCCTTGGGCTGAGCCTCTCCCCGGGCCGTTCCCCTTCCCTCCCGCAGCCGCAGGAGCCCTTTGCCTTCAGCCCGCCGGCCCAGGCTGCCATGAGGAACGCCCTGCGCCTCCGGTACTCGCTGCTGCCCTTCCTCTACACGCTGTTCCACCGGGCCCACAGTGCCGGGCAGACCGTGGCACGGCCCCTGTTCCTCGAGTGAGTGCCAGCCCCGTGGGGCTCACAGGGGTGCCTGCAGGGTGTCCTGGCACTGCCCTCCCTCCCCTCCTTCCCCAGGTTCCCCGCAGACCCCAACACCTGGGCCGTGGACCGCCAGCTCCTGTGGGGCGGGGGGCTGCTCATCACCCCCGTGCTGGAGGCAGGACAGACCAAAGTCAGCGGCTACTTCCCGGCAGGGACGTGGTACAGCCTCACAGGGGTGGGTGCTCCTGCTTTGCCGTGGCACCTCGTGCCCATTCCTGCATCCCACCAGCCCCCGGGGGCTGTGCGTGGGTCTCGTGCCTCCCCTGCCTTTGCTGGTGGCCGTTTGATGGCTCTGGCACTGTGGCACCTTGTGCCTGCTCTTGCCTCTCTCTGTCCCCGTGCAGGACTCCACCATCCACAGCAAAGGGCAGTGGATCCTCCTGCCAGCGCCCCTGGACACCATCAACGTCCACGTCCGTGCAGGGCACATCCTGCCCCTGCAGGTGAGCCCCCTCTGCTCCGTGGTGAGGGTGGCAGTGCCCACAGCACTGCCAGGGCAATGCCAGTGGCTGCAGGGCTGGGGGCACGGCCGTGGCGGTGCCCTGAGCTGTGTCTGCCCTGTGTCCCAGGAACCTGCCTTCAGCACCGCCCAGTCCCGAGGGAAGGGCATGGCCCTGGTGGTGGCACTGACCCCGGATGGCTTCGCCAGGGGAGAGCTGTTCTGGGACGATGGGGACAGCTGGGAGACCTTTGAGAGGGGCGACTACACCGAGCTGCTCTTCCTGGCCTCCCACGTGAGCAGGGGGAGCTGCTGGCAGGGGCTGGGCAGGGCTCCGGGGGCCCTGGCACACCTGGGTCTGCTCTGTGGCTGGCAGGTGGGGAACGGCACCTGGAGGAGCCCTGGGTGCACAAGGGTGGCTGAGAGCACAGGGTGCCATCCCTGTGTGCCCTGGGTGCACAGGGTGCCATCCCCTGTGCCCTGGGTGCCATCCCCTGTGCCCTGGGTGCCATCCCTGTGTGCCCTGGGTGCACAGGGTGCCATCCCCTGTGCCCTGGGGTGCCATCCCTGTGTGCCCTGGGTGCACAGGGTGCCATCCCCATGTGCCCTGGGTGCCATCCCTGTGTGCCCTGGGTGCACAGGGTGCCATCCCCATGTGCCCTGGGTGCCATCCCTGTGTGCCCTGGGTGCACGACGGGCGGCTGAGGGCTGGCAGCACACAATGCCATCCCCGTGTGCCCAGGACGCCGTGCTCAGCCAGCTGCTGCGGGCCAGTGCCCACCTGGACGGGGTCCTGCTGGAGGCTGTCACCGTGCTGGGGGTCACCAGCCCTCCCCGGCGAGTCCTGGCCAACGGTGCCATCGTCAGGGACTTCTCCTACCGCAGTGACACCCAGGTGAGTGCTGGCTGCCAGCCTGGGCAGGGCTGGTGGCCAGGAGGGGACCCGGAGTGCAGCTGTGGGGTCTGGCCCCAGTGATGGCACAGCGCGGGCCATGGGTGCCCTTCCCGGGGCATCTGTGGGGCCAGGGCTGTGCCAGGCTGTGGCTCTGTGGGATCACTGCAAAGTGGGGCCAGGACTGTGCCAGGCTCTGTGAGGGGAAGAACTCCTCTGGGCTCTGACACCCCTGGCTGCTCTCACCTTCCCTCTCCCCTCAGGTGCTCACGGTCCCTGTGTCGCTGCCCATGTGGGAGCAGTTTGTCATCTCCTGGTCCTGACCAGCGTGGGTCACAGGGAAAGGCATGGCTGATCCCCTGGAATCCGAGGCCAAATCCATCCCATCCCCTGCACCCTGAGCTGCCCTGCTCTTCCCACACTCGTGGCCTTGTTCTCCCTCTGGCTGATGGAGGGGTGTGCACGGGACTGGCAGAGGGACGGGGGCCTTTCCCAGGGACAGGGAAAACCTCACCATCATCACATCAGGGGAAAAAGACCCAAGTGCCTTGTGAGACCGCAAGCCAGTTCCTCTGGGGACTGGTAACTGGGGCACAGGCTGCAGGGAGTTCCCTGGCTGTGGTTTTGGGGAGGGGGATGTGCAGGGGCTGAGGGAGCAGTACTGTGAATAAAGCTGCTGTTTGCTGGGAGCAGCCCCAGGCTGTGTCCTTGTCCCCTCTCTGGTCCTGAATGTCCCCAGCCCCCTGTCCCCAGCTGGGACACCCCAGCTCTGTCCCTGCCTGGAGGTCTCCAGTGGGACCCCCTGTGCCCCTTGAGGGCTTTCCCCATTCCCCAGAGTGCTGGGGGTCCCCAGCTGTTCCTGCAGCCCTGGCTGTGCCACAGAGACCATGGTCTGTCCTGCTGCATGGTGTGCTCAGCTCCAGGTGAAAACGGATCCTTATCCTCCAGAGGCTTTATTGAGGGGCAGCTTGGCCCTTTGGCTCCTCCAGCTGAGAGCCAGGGCACCAGGGATCCTCAGTGCTCTGGGGCCGGGCGGTGTTGGCAGCAGAGGGCAGAGCTTAGTGGTGTCACCTGGGATTTGGGACCAGCCCATTGTGCCCCGTGGGAACACAGCACTGTGGGGGCACAGGTGGGGTGTGAGCCCCATGAGAGCACTGTGGGGGCACAGGTGGTGTCCATACCCCATGGGAACACAGCACTGTGGGGGCACAGGTGGGGTGTGAGCCCCATGAGAGCGCTGTGGGGGCACAGGTGGGGTGTGAGCCCCATGAGAGCGCTGTGGGGGCACAGGTGGTGTCCATACCCCACGGGAACGCACCCCTGTGGGGGCGCAGGTGCCCCTCACAGCTCGTTGTGCAGCGGCTGGCACTGGGGGCTCAGCTTCTCCTCCAGCACAGCGTCGGGGGCGCACACCCAGGGGTCCCCGGTGTCCCACTGCCACCGGAGGAGCCGTGCCCTGAGCAGCTGCAGCACGCTGGCGTAGCGGGGGTCGGGGGCCAGGTTGTGGCTCTCGGCAGGGTCCCGGCTGCAGTCAAACAGCTCCCAGCGGGGTCGGTAGTAGTACTGCTGCAGGCTCCTGTTCCAGTGCGTGGGCTGCCCCGCCCGGGTGCGCCCCAGCAGGTCCTGGAAGGTGGGGGACACGTACAGGTCCTGGTCGATGGGGAAGGGCATCCTGTAGTGGAGGTTGTGGATGAGGCGGTACTGGCGCTGCTGCACGGCTCGCATGGGGTAGTACATGGTCACCTCGTGCTGGCTCTGGCTCAGGAAGGCCGTGGCCCAGGGCTGCTCCGACTCCAGGGCTGGCAGCAGAGACTTCCCAGTGAGCTGCACACGCCTCTTGCCAAAGATGCTGTAAGCGGGGTAGGGGACGGAGAACCAGTCCAGAATGGTCGGCGTCAGGTCTGCAGGGGAGCAAAAGGGTGAGAGCAGGGACAGGCACTGTGGGAGGAAACTCAGCCCCAGAGAGGGGCAGAAAGGTCCCCAGGGATGGTGTCCCTGCAGGGAACCCTGTCCTGTCCTCCCTCCTCTCCCTTCCCTGCTCTGGCCCTGCCAGCTGAGGGCTTGGGGCTGTCTCCAGCGCCAGGACCCTGAGATTTGGTGCAGGGAGCAGCCCCCAGCCCCAGGCACGCTCAGCTCTTACCCAGGAGGGAGGCGAAGGCCGGGCTGACCTGCCCCCAGCGCCGGGGGTGCTCGGGGGAGGAGAGCAGCAGCGGCTGGGCGGTGCCCGAGCGGTACAGGTTGGTCCTGCCCCCGGGGAACGGGATGCCGTTGTCGGAGGTGTAGATCACCAGGGTGCTGTTGAGGAAACCGGCGTGGTGCAGCTCCTGCAGGACCAGCCCGATCCCTGTGAGAGGAGAAACAGAGCTCAGGGGGCAGGGAGGGGGTCAGAGCTCAGCCCCAGCCTGGCCAGGCTCCCACCTTGGTCCATGCGCCCGATGGTCGTGTACTGGGCAGCCAGGTCCTCCCGAGCAGCCGGCGTGTCCGGGACAAAGGGAGGGACCTAAATGGGGACAGGCAAAGGGACACGTGGCTGACACAGGCCCCTCTTGCTGTGACACTGGGGACAGTGACAAGGTGGCTGCCACCATGTGCAGCCCCACACATCCCCACAGGTTCTCACCTGCACTTGCTCCGGCTGGTAAATCTGTGGCTTCCAGTCAGGGATCCAGCCCATCCCGCTCTGTCCATTGCCAAATTTCTCACAAAAGGGCCCATACTGGGGCTGGGAGTGCCCGCAGCGGTGAGGGTCGTGGAAGGCAACATAGAGGAAGAAAGGCCTAGGGATGGAAAGGGGGGATGTGGAGGGGGTGAAGCCAAGGGGTGCCCAGGGACCTTCCTGGGCTGTGCCATGGTGAGCTGGGGTCAGCAGGACTCCCCCCACCTAATCTGGGTGTGGGGGGACCCTGTCTGTGACCAGCTGGGCCATGGGGACACATCCTCAGTGCAGCCCTCCCCAGGACAAGGGGGCAGCCTCACCTCTCGTCCTGGCTCTGCAGGAAGCGCCGGACGAGCTCCTTGATCCGGGTGATGTTTCTCCCCACCTGCAGCACCGAGCTGTTCTCCTCTGTGTAGGCGAAGTCGAAGGGGTACACAGCCCCCGGCCCCACGTGCTTCTTCCCAATTATCCCTGTGACAACGCAGACAGCTGCTGTGGAGGAGCAGGGCTGGGAGGATGTGCTGTCTCCTCTCTGCAGCGACAGCCACAGGTCCAGGGAGCTCCGTCAGTGGGGTTTGGTTTGGTGCTCCCTGCCTGTCCCAGCTCCTGTCCCAGCTCCTCCAGCCCCTACCTGTCCGGATGCCTGCATGGCTGAGCAGCTGGGGCAGGCTCCTCACGCCGTCGAAGGAGTTGAAGTGATGCACGTCCTGGTGCAGCCCGTACATCCCGTTCTGGTGCTGAGGGGACACGGCACGGTCAGACCAGGGCTGCCAGCCCAGTTCCAAAACACATCCAGCCGTGTCTGTGACTCCTGCCATGGGCTGGCAGCCCCGGCCCGGTGACACGGGTGTCCCTACCTGGGGTAAGCCGGTCAGGATGCTGGCCCGGCTCGGGGAGCAGCTGCTCACGGAGGTGAAGGCGTTCTGGAAGACCAAACCGCGCCGGGCCAGCGCGTCCAGGTTGGGCGTGTGGATGGCAGAGTTGTTGTAGGCGCCGCTCTCGAAGCCGCCGTCATCGGCTGCGGGACGGGAGCGGGGTCAGCCCGGGGTGTCCCTGACCGGGTGCGGGGTCAGCTCGGGGGTGTCCCTGGGGTCCGCCCGGGGTGTCCCTGACCGGGCTCGAGGGACACTGATGACACCGGAGCACCCCCGGGCTGCGGGTGCCCCGGCCGGTGCTGCGGAGGGGATGCAGCGGAGCCCGGGGCCGTCCCTCCCTCCCGATCCCGGGATGCCCCCAGCGCCCAGCCCCGGGCAGGGGGGTCCGGGCCGGTTCCGGGGCCGGGCTGGGCAGGGCCGCACTCACCCAGGAGCAGCAGCACATTGCGGGCCGGGGCCGCGGCTCCGCCGGGCGGGAGCGCTCCCAGCAGCAGCAGCAGCGCCCAGGACCGCATGGTACCGGCACCGGTACCGGCAGCAGCAGCAGCACCGGCAGCGGGGCTCGGCGGCTCCTCCGGCGGCCCCGGCTCCTCCTCACCCCGGTCACATGAGGCGTCCCGGCCGCTCAGATCCGGGGCGGGCGGAGCTGCGGGCTGTGCGGGGCTGGCCCCGGCGGCTCCGCGGTGCCCCGCTCCGTCCCCGGTACCGACCGGCGGGGATCCCGCTCCGTCCCCGGTACCGACCCGCGGGGATCCCGCTCCGACCCGCAGGGTCCCGCTCCGCCCCGGTACCGGCCCGCAGCCCCGGGGGTCCGAGCCATGCCGGGGTCCCGGTGCCCGCTGCCGGCGCTGCCGGTGCTGCGCTGGCTCCCGCGGTACTCCCGGGCCTGGCTGCCGCTGGACGTGCTGGCCGGGCTGGCCGTGGGCCTGACCGCCGTGCCCCAGGCGCTGGCCTACGCCGAGCTGGCCGGGCTGCCGCTGCAGGTGCGTACCGGGCCGGCACCGGGACCCGCGGAGCTCCGGCCGGGTGAGCCGGGCCCGCTCCCGGGCAGCGCGGCGGGCACGGCTGGGCTGGGCTGGGCTGGGTGACCGAGGGCTGGCGCTGTGCACTCGCCCATTCCTCGGGCGCGATGCCACCCGTGTGCCAAGGGCCCTGCGGTGACCCGAGCCCAGCCCAGCCCAGTCCGGGCCGTGTCCGGCCTCTCGCGGCTCCCCGGGCTGTGCCAGTGCCCTTCTGTCCCCCTGCAGTACGGCCTCTACTCCTCCTTCATGGGCTGCTTCGTGTACTGCCTGCTGGGCACGGCCAAGGACGTGACGCTGGGTCCCACGGCCATCATGTCCCTGCTGGTGTCCTCGTACGCCTTCCAGCAGCCCGCCTACGCCGTGCTGCTCGCCTTCCTCTCGGGCTGCGTTCAGCTGGCCATGGGGCTGCTGCGCCTCGGTGAGATGCCCTTGCCGTGCACTGATGTGTTTGGGATGTTGCTGCACGGCCTGGAGCCGTTCCTCCCTCCTCTCTGCTCCCCGGGGCGCTGGCGCTGTCCCGCTGTCCCGCTGGGGTCAGGATGTGCTCACCGCCTCCCATCCCATGCAGGATTCCTTCTGGATTTCATTTCCTGCCCGGTCATTAAGGGGTTTACATCAGCTGCTTCCATCACCATCAGCTTCAACCAGGTCAAGGTAGGACCTGCCCTATCCCGGTGCCTCTGCAGCTCTCTCCAGTGCTGTGCAGCTGGGCCATGTGCTTGGTGCTGGGGGAATGAGCCCCAAAAAGGTCCCGGGACCCCCTGCCCGTGGTTCTGCTGGGTGCCTGAGCGCCCTGCTCGGGCAGAGCGAGCTGAACACCCTCTGCTGGTGACCAGCTGGTGGCAGCCAGGGCACCAGCAAAGCCAGGACGTGGCACTGGTCACCTGCAGGAGGCACTGGGCGATCCTCTGGCACGGTGGGTTTGCAGATTTGGGAGCTGGGGGTGGTTTGCAGCCCCGGGAGCCCCTCGCTGGCCTCGCAGGGACCCGAGGCTCTGCTGGGCTGCCACACTTCCCTTGTGGTTAACCCAAATCAGAGCCTCTGGCAGCAGCTCCAGGCCGGTGTTGGCTAATGGCTGCGGTCACGGGGCTGGGCTGGGCTGGGCTGGGCTGTCAGCAGCATTTCTGCCCGCACAGAACATCCTGGGCCTGCAGGGCATCCCGAGGCAGTTCTTCCTGCAGCTCTACGAGACGCTGAGGAGGATCGGGGAGACCAGGTCAGCACCCCCTGCCCTGCTCCCCATCCCTGGGGCCGATTTCTCGGCTGTGACACAAACCCCCTGCCCTGCCCTGCCCTCCGTGGAGCTCTCGGGCGCGTTTGGGTGGCACTGCTGTGCCTCTTGCAGGGCCGGGGACGCGCTGCTGGGGCTGAGCTGCCTGGCAGCGCTGGCAGGGCTGCGGGCCATGAAGAGCCGCCTGCCCCAGGCCGTCCCCACGGCGCCGCCGGCCGTCAGGATCAGCCACCTGATTGTGTGGATCTGTGCCACAGGTGTGTCCCTGTCCCCTGCCTGTCCCCTCCCGGGCTCATCTTTGGGTCAGGGAGGGCAGAGCCTGAAATGGGAAAGGCCAGGCTGGCAGGGGCCGAGACCTGGAGGTGGGGCAGGGAGGAGGAGTGCCAAGGCTCCTGTCCCCGTGTCCCTTCCCAGGGCTGGGCAGTGCCCAGCAGTGTGGGCACCATCTCCTGCCCCCTTCCCAGGGCTGGGCAGTGCCCAGCAGCTCGGGTACCATCTCCTGCCCCCTCCTGCTGCCCTGGGCTCGGGCAGGGCTCATGGCTGCTCTCTCCACTTTGGCAGCACGCAATGCCCTCGTGGTCCTGTTTGCTGGCCTGGTGGCTTACTCCTTCCAGGTGATGGGCTGCCAGCCCTTCAGGCTCACGGGCAGCATCCCCCAGGGGCTGCCACCCTTCCGGCCACCACCCTTCTCCCTGGCAGTGCCCAACGGCACCGTCCCCTTCCCCAGCATGCTGCAGGTGGGTGCTGCCACTCCTAGGGCTGCCCTGCTGCCTGTGCAGGCTCCAAGCCCCCCTGACCCCCCTGGATCCCTCCCTGACCCCCCTGGATCTCTCCCTGATCCCCCTTGGATCTCTCCCTGATCCCCCTTGGATCCCTCCCTGATCCCCCTTGGATCCCTCCCTGACCCCCCTGGATCTCTCCCTGATCCCCCTGGATCCCTCCCTGATCTCCCCTGGATCCCTCCCTGATCCCCCTTGGATCCCTCCCTGACCCCCCTGGATCTCTCCCTGATCTCCCCTGGATCCCTCTCTGACCCCCCTGGATCCCTCTCTGACCCCCCTGGATCCCTCTCTGATCCCCCTGGATCCCTCCCTGACCCCCCTGGATCCCTCCCTGATCCCCCTGGATCTCTCCCTGATCCCCCTTGGATCCCTCCCTGATCTCCCCTGGATCCCTCTCTGACCCCCCTGGATCCCTCTCTGACCCCCCTGGATCCCTCCCTGATCCCCCTTGGATCCCTCCCTGATCCCCCTGGATCTCTCCCTGATCTCCCCTGGATCCCTCCCTGACCCCCCTGGATCTCTCCCTGATCCCCCTGGATCTCTCCCTGACCCCCCTGGATCCCTCCCTGACCCCCCTGGATCCCTCTCTGACCCCCCTGGATCTCTCCCTGATCCCCCCTGGATCCTCCCTCCCAGGACATGGGCGTCGGGCTGGCCGTGGTGCCACTCATGGGGCTGCTGGAGAGCGTGGCCATTGCCAAGGCTTTTGGTAGGGCTGTGCCAGGGCCCTGCCCTGGGCTCCTGGGGGGTCTCTGCGGGGTTTGGGGTGCTGGGGGGGGGGTCTCTGCAGGGCTCAGGGTGCTGGGGAAGGTGCTGTTCCTTTTGGGGCACTGGGAGGGACTGGGCTCAGTTCCCAGCATGGGCTGGCAGGAGGGGTCCTGGGGTGCCCAGCTGAAGTTTGCCCAGGAGGTGAGCGTTGTCTCGGGGTGCTGCTGTGCCCAGGGGTGCCAGGGCAGGGCCCGCGCTGTCCCATGGCTGCTGGTTCTGCTCCGTGTGCCTGGCAGGTGCCCGTGGGAGCCTCAGGCCAACGCCAACCTCTCCTTTCAGCCTCGCAGAATGGCTACAGGATTGACCCCAGCCAGGAGCTGCTGGCTCTGGGTAAGAGCTGCTGGCTCGGGAGGGCAGGGGTGGGACCGGGTGTCCCAGAGCCCCTGGGCTGCCTGAGATCCCGTCTGGGCAGCCCTGCCTGCCCTGAGCTTCTCCCTTCCTCACCCGCATGCTGCCCCCACCCCGGGCGTTCTCTCAGCTCAGGAATTTCCAGAACAGGCTGAGCCACTCCTGCAGGGTCAGGGAGGGGACACAGACACAGCAGTGCCCCTTTCCTGGTTACACAAGCCCAGCAGTGCCCCTTTCCTGGGGACACAGACCCAGCAGTGCCCCCCAGCCCCGCTCCTTTCTCTCCCCAGGTGTTGCCAACGTCCTGGGCTCCTTTGTCTCCTCGTACCCCATCACGGGCAGCTTTGGCCGGTGGGTAGCACGAGGGGAGCAGGGCACTGGTGGTGGTGAGGGAGCTCTGCAAGGTCCTGAGTGGCAGATGTGCTGTGCCACTGGGTCCCTGAGCTCGTGTCCTGGTCCCCAGCAGCCCACCTTGGTGGCTGGGCTACGCTTGTGTCCCAGTGGCCACCCTCCCTTCCTCAAGGGCCGCCTCCCTTCCTGCTGTGCAGTCCCTGAAGCCGGGGGCTTGCTGGTGTTCCTCTCTGACAGGGTGGGTTCTCCTGGGTGGGGTGTGGGCGGTGGGCAGGAGCAGCCCCAGCCCTGCGCAGCCTGGCACAGCCTGGCACAGTCTGGCACAGCCTGGCACAGCCTGGCACGGTGCGTTTGTGTTTCAGGACAGCAGTGAATGCTCAGTCAGGGGTCTGCACCCCCGCAGGAGGGCTCGTCACAGGTACAGCCCTGCCCTGTCCTCAGGGACCACTGGGTGCTGGGGACCCCTGGGTGTTTGGGACCCCTGGGTGCTGGGTACCCCTGGCTGTCAGGGACCCTTGGGTGTTGGGGTTCCCTGGGTGTGGGGTTCCCTGGGTGTTGGGGTTCCCTGGGTATTGGGTACCCCTGGGTGTTGGGACCCCTGGGTGTTTGGGACCCCTGGATGTTCGGTATCCCTGGGTGCTGGGTATCCCTGCGTGTTGGATACCCCTGGGTGTTGGGGTTCCCTGGGTATTGGGTACCCCTGGGTGCTGGGTACCCCTGGGTATTGGGTACCCCTCCTTGCCGGGTGCCCGTGGCTGAGGGTCCCTCTCCCGCAGGTGCCCTGGTCCTGCTGTCCCTGGCATACCTGACCTCTCTGTTCTATTACATCCCCAAGGCAGCGCTGGCTGCTGTCATCATCTCGGCCGTGGTGCCCATGTTCGACGCTGGCATCTTCCGGAGGCTCTGGCGGGTTCAGAGTGAGGGCAGGGGCAGAGCCCCAGTGAGGGCAGGGGCAGAGCCCCAGTGCAGCCGTGCAGGAGCTGCTCTGGCACATGCAGGAGCCGCTCTGGCACATGCAGGAGCCGCTCTGGCACATGCAGGAGCCGCTCTGGCACATGCAGGAGCTGCTCTGGCAGTCACAGCCACCCCTGAGCTGGGACTGAGCCCCTGCAGGGCTCCCCTGCCCCTCTCACACAGAGCAGGGCTCCTCTCAGCTCTACCCCAGGTTTCCCATAGCAGGGTCACAGACACGCAGATCCTTGAAATAATTTAATCCTGGTGCCGTAGCTAAATAACAGAATGACAGCTTGAGATTCTGAGGAGGGATCCAGAGCAAAGAAGCCTGTGAGCTTCTATCCTTTTATCCCCTCACAAACGTGCAAAGTCTCTGAGGGGTGGTCTGTGAGTGTCCCATCACAGTCTCTGAGTGTCCCATCAGTGTCTGAGTGCCCCATCACCATCTCTTGAGTGTCCCATCAGTGTCTGAGTGTCCCATCATGGTCTATGAGCATCTCTGAGTGTCCCATCATGGTCTCAGAGCATCTCTGAGTGTCCCATCACTGTCTGAGCATCCCATCACCATCTCTGAGTGTCCCATCACTCTCTGAGTGCCCCATTAGCATCTCTTGAGTGTCCCATCATGGTCTCTGAGTGCCCCATCAGAATCTGAGTGTCCCATCACTGTCCCAGTGTCCCATCACCATCTCTGAGTGTCCCATCATGGTCTCTGAGTGTCCCATCATGGTCTCAGAGCATCTCGGAGCATCCCATCAATGTCTGAGTGTCCCATCACTCTCTCAAGTGTCCATCATGCCTCCAGGGTCCCTGGGTCCTTTGTCATGCAGAGGGGACAGTTCACAGCCCCTCCCCAGGGCTCCCACCCTGAGCTCAGCCTGCAGCTCCACCGAAGCTGCCCCAGCCACCTGTGCAATGCAGAGCTGGCACTGTCCCCGAGTGCCCCGTGGCACCAGGAGCAGCCACAGCCAGCCTGGCCCCTCTCCCCTGCAGGGCTGGACCTTGTGCCCCTGTGTGTGACGTTCCTGCTGTGTTTCTGGGAGGTGCAGTATGGAATCGTGGCTGGGGTGCTGGTTTCTGGCCTTCTCCTGCTCCACTCCATTGCCAGGCCCCCGATAAAGGTGAGCTTCTCCCTTCTCCCCTGCCCTTGTGTTGGTTTTCCCAGCTTTTCAGAGATGGGGCAACTGAGAGGCTTTTTAAAGGATTTTATTCCATTATCAGTCCGGATGAAGGGTGAGACATAGGAGATGTAAAACTCAGTGCCATTCCATCAGAAGCCAGCCTGAATCCTGGGTACAATCCCTTATAATGATTCCCAGCCTATTAGCTTTTGCCACACAATGCTGCTGTTAACAATGCGTCTTCCACAGTTCTAATTCTCCCAAATATCTGGTCTTTCTGCAAGGCCATCGTTTGAAACTTGTTGAAACTTGTTTCTAGTTCAATCTCTCTCTCAACAATATCATCTCTATCCCATGGCCTTCCTAAGCCAGCACCCCTTATCTCTCAGAGTTTGCATACACTCGTACAGGACTGTGTGAGCTTCCTGTCAGGTTTTGGGAATCCTGACAAATCCATTTCTCACACCCCTGGACGTGGCCGGGAGCTGGGAGGGGGCTCCTGAGGGCAGGGAGGTGCTGGGGGGAGATGCTCCTGACCTGTTTGTGCTGTCCCCAGTGTGCCATGGGCACAGCACAGGGACCCCTCTAAAGGAGCAGGAGGAGGGGAAAATCCTCAGGCTGGAGAGCAGGAGAGGGAAAATCCTTAGGAGGGAGCAGGAGAGAGCCCAGGCACTGCTGGCACTGGGCTGAGAGCTGGAGGGGTTCCCTGAGGGATGGGGGCTCCTGCTCCTCCCACTCCATCCAGGAGGGCAGGGAGTGACACGGGAGCTGTCCCTGATGGGGAGGTGACATCCCTGAGCTCCTGTGCCTGTGTCCCTTATGGGGAGGTGGCATCCCTGAGCCCCTGTGCCTGTGTCCCTTATGGGGAGGTGACATCCCTGAGCTCCTGTGGCTGTGTCCCTTATGGGGAGGTGGCATCCCTGAGCCCCTGTGCCTGTGTCCCTGATGGGGAGGTGACATCCCTGAGCCCCTGTGCCTGTGTCCCTGATGGGGAGGTGACATCCCTGAACTCCTGTGCCTGTGTCCCTTATGGGGAGGTGACATCCCTGAGCTCCTGTGCCTGTGTCCCTGATGGGGAGGTGACATCCCTGAGCCCCTGTGCCTGTGTCCCTTATGGGGAGGTGACATCCCTGAGCTCCTGTGCCTGTGTCCCTGATGGGGAGGTGACATCCCTGAGCCCCTGTGGCTGTGTCCCTGATGGGGAGGTGACATCCCTGAGCCCCTGTGGCTGTGTCCCTGATGGGGAGGTGGCATCCCTGAGCCCCTGTGGCTGTGTCCCTGATGGGGAGGTGACATCCCTGAGCCCCTGTGGCTGTGTCCCTGATGGGGAGGTGACATCCCTGAGCCCCTGTGTCCCCCCAGGTGTCAGAGGGGGCCGTGCTGCTGGTGCAGCCGGGGAGCAGCCTGCACTTCCCAGCCGTGGAGCACCTGAGGAGCTCGGTGTGCAGCCGTGCTCTGGCAGGTACAGCGCTGCTGGCTGGCCTGGGGACGCGGCTGTCACCTCCTGTGGGTGGCAGGCGCTGCCCAGGCCCAGCACTGCGAGTGCCAGCGGTGACAGCACCACTGCCCCACCCTGGCAGCCCTGCCCTGGCTCTGGGACCCCTGGCTGCTCACTGGGACATGACCTTGTGCTCTCCCAGCAGCGTCCCCAGCTCGCCCTGTGCTGCTGGACTGCAGCCACGTCAGCAGCATCGATTACACGGCAGTGCTGGGGCTGGCAGAGCTGCTGCAGGAGCTGCACGGGCACGGCCTGCCGCTGGCCTTCTGCGCCCTGCAGGTGTGTGGGACCTTGGCCACGCCACCCTGGGCCTGGGGAGGGTGTGGATGTGGCTGATGGGCTCTGTGCTGGCCTCCCTGGGCTCTGTGCTGGCCTCTCTTCTGGTGGCTCCATCACCATCCCGAGCACCTTCATCTCGCAGAGCTGGGGCTGGGGGTGCTGGGATGGCTGGGTGCCCATGCTGGGATGGCTGGGGGTGCTGGGGTGGGCTGGGTGCCCATGCTGGGATGGCTGGGGGTGCTGAGATGGGCTGGGGGCTCATGCTGGGATGGCTGGGGGTGCTGGGATGGCTGGGTGCCCATGCTGGGATGGCTGGGGGTGCTGGGGTGGGCTGGGGGCTCATGCTGGGATGGCTGGGGGTGCTGAGATGGGCTGGGTGCCCATGCTGGGATGGCTGGGGGTGCTGGGGTGGGCTGGGGGCTCATGCTGGGATGGCTGGGGGTGCTGGGGTGGGCTGGGGGCTCTGCCCCAGGGGTGGGAAGTGGGCAGCACTCCCCAGCCCAGGTTTCTCTGCCCTCAGGAGCCCGTTCTCCAAGTCCTCCTGTCTGCAGACTTAGAAGGATTCCAGCATTTCCCCAGCCGGGAGGAGGCAGGGGAGGCGCTGGCTGCTCTGCCAGGATGGGGTGAGTGTGGCTCTGGGGACTCCCAAGGGATCTGACCTGTCCAGCTGCACGGCAGCACAGTGGGGGCTGCAGGGGGCTGGGGGGCTGAGCTGGAGCCCCTCCCAAGAACTGGGTCTCCCCGGTGTTGGGGATTCCTGGTGAGCTCTGGTGGTTCAAGCCAGCAGCAGCTCAGCGCCACAGAGCCCCTCACTCCCCATTCATAGAGGTGGGACAGGATCAGAGGAAAGGTAAAACTCTTGGGCTGAGATGAGGCAGTTTAACAGGACAGAAAAAGAAAATGACAATAATCATAAAGGAATATCCAAAGCCAGTGGTGCACAGGGTGCTTGCTCACCACCTCTGAGCCATGCCCAGCCAGCCCCTCGGCCACATCCCCCCAGTGTTTCCTACCATGCCCTGTGCTCTGCAACCTCCTCTGGGCACTGGGGCAGCTCTCCTGGCTCTGCCCCTGCCAGCTCCTCCCTGCCCGGGCAGCCTGGCGAGTCCTTGGCTCAGTGCAAGCGCTGCTCACAGCAGCTGAGCCGTGGGGCTGTTATCAACAGGAGCCTCATCCTGAACCCAACACAGCTCTGGAACAGCTCCTGGGAACAGCAAAATGCCCTCTGTGCCAGGCAGAGACACGATGTGAGCCGTGCCCTGACTCTGCCTCCCCTCTCCTGTCCCAGAGCGCTGCAGGGAGCTGGGGGGCAGCGGGGCAGAGCCCCCCGCCAGCCCTGCCCAGAGCACCGGGCTCATCCAGTGACATCGGTGTGGGCTGAGCGTCCTGTGCCACCCCAGTGACACCAGCACCTCCCTGGGAGCCAGCTGGGCACGGAGATGGTCTGTCCCCATGTCCCACGGCGAGATGGACAGAGCAGCGCCAGCCCAGCCCCACACGGGCTGGGGGACAGAGCTGTTCCCTGTCACAGTGACCAGTGCAAAGCCATCCTCCCTGCAGGGAGCTGCTGGCATTTTTTAATGACCGTTTTAATTGTGGACCTTTTCCACGTTCTGGGCTGCTCCAGTGGTGACACAGAGGGAGCTCCCAAAGCTTTCAGGGCTGCTGTGCTGCCCTCCAAGTGCCACGGGGCTCAGCCTCCAGCTCTGGGAGAGGGAGAACGTCTGGGATTGTGCTCCTTACTGATTTTTATCCTTCCTTACCTTTTTTATCCTTCTCTTGTCTGTGGGGTGTTGTGCCAAACGCTGCCCTGGGTCAGGGCTGGGCTCACCCTGGGGTGCAGCCCCTGGCCTGGGCCCTGCCGAGGGGACAGGCACGGTGACACCAGGCTGTGCCATGGGGACAGCACCTGGTGGGGCTGGGCAGGTCGGGAATTCAGTTCCCCGAACGGCCCTGGGGACATCGAGGGTGCAATAAATCAGAAACTGCGAACGAGTCAGTGTGATCTCTGCCTTCCTGAGGGAAAGCTTTTTCCTGTTGTGCGGGAAGGGGAGTTATCTTCTGGTGCTGCTGAGCGTGCCAGGGAATAGAAACTGAAAGCAAACTGGGGCGGTGCTGGTGGGGTGAGCCGAGCCCGAGGGCACGTTCTGCACAGCTCCTGCTGCCAGAGGTGCTGGAAGGGCGGCACATCTGCCCGGGAGCTGCATACCTGCCTGGGGAGCCTCACACCTGCACAGGAGCTGCATTCCTGCCTGGGGACCCTCACACCTGCACAGGAGCTGCATTCCTGCCTGGGGACCCTCACACCTGCACAGGAGCTGCATTCCTGCCTGGGGAGCCTCACACCTGCACAGGAGCTGCATTCCTGCCTGGGGAGCCTCACACCTGCCTGGGGAGCCTCACACCTGCCTGGGCTGCACTGAGCTGTGAGTTCCTTGCTGCACCATGGGGATGCCAGGAGGGGGATAACGGGGCCATGGGGGTAAAACGGGCTGGTTGTTTAGGAATGTGTGTGAGCTCGAACCTGTGTGAGCACTGCTGGCGGGCAGCGCTGCTGGGAGCCGTCTTGGGCTGGGTCCTGGTGGGCTCCGGGAACTGTGCCCTCACTTTTGAGTGCAGAATCCGCTTTTGGCTGTCGGGACCGGCACAAAGCGCTCTCCTCCAACACAGCTGCCCTCCCTGCTGCTGCCGGGCCTGTCCTGTGCCCTGCTGGCGGGGGATACCGGCACCGGGCACGTTGGGATGCCCGGGGGTACCGGGAGAAGTGGGGACACCTGCACCGAGCATGGGGGATGCTCGGGGGTACTGGCACCGGGCACGAGGGGATGCTCGGGGGTACCGGAGAGGCCGGGAACACCGGCACCGGGCACGGGGGAATGCTCGGGGTACCGGGAGAGGCCGGGGACACCTGCACCGGGCTGATGGACGGAGCGATGCCCGGTGGGTACCGGGAGAAGACCCCCAGAGATGCCCGGCGGGATGGGGGCCGGGCAGGGCGGGATCCGCCGAGAGCCGCCCGGGGCCGGGATTGGCCGGGATCGGCCGGGGCGGGCCGGGGCTGGGCGGGGACCGTGACTGCAAAAACGAAAGTTGGCGGCTCGGCGGAGAAACGAAACTTGTCCGGGCGGGACTCGGCGAGCGGCGGAACGAGCGGGCGCTGCAGGTGCCGGTGCCCGTAGCCGTGCCCGGTCACTCGGTGAGTCGCGCTGCCGGGGCGGCGGGTGGCGGCACGGGGCACCGGGCCTGGGGGCTGCGGGGCGGGGGCAGCCGCGGCTCCGGCTCCCGCTGCACCCTCCGGTGCCCCCCGATCTGCCCGGAGCCCTCCGGTGCGTGCCCGGGGACTCCCATCTCCTCCCCGTTCACCTGGGACGCCTCTCCCCCGTGTCTCTCCCCGGTTCTCACCTGTGTCCCTCCCCGGTTCCCGCCCCCGGTTCTTCTCGTCTCCCTCCCGGTTCTCCCCGTGTTCCCCGCGGTTCTCCCTTCTCCCCGGTTCCCGCCCCCGGTTATCCCCGTGTCCTTCTCCGATTCTCCCCGTGTCCCCGCCGTGCTCTCCCTGTGTCGTTGCCCCCGCTCCCCCGGTTCTCCCCGTGCCCCCCCCCGAACCCTCCCGGTGTCCCCCGGGAGCCGCGCTAGCCCCGCCCCTCACATACATAACTGGCTCATTTGCATACAACCGCTCCTTCGCCACGCCATTGGCTCATTCACCCTCCTCATTTGCATATCTCCCGAGGGGGCGGAGAGCCGCCAATCCGCGAGGCGCGAGAGCGGTCATTTGCATACAGGCCCCGCCCACAGGGCAGGCCCCGCCCCGGCAGGGTCGGCTCGGGCAGCGACCCTCGGCCATGGCCCGGCCCGGCCCGGCGGAACGAGGCTCCGGGCCCGGCGCAGCCCGGCCGAGCAGCCCCAGGCAGGGCTCCGGGAAGGGGAGCCGGGCTCTCGCTGGGAGCGCGGGCCCTCAGCGCGGGGGCGCGCTCGCTGTTTGTGTTGGTTCGCCTTTAAGCGCTGTGGTTCCTCTCCTGACAATAAAACGGGCAGAGGAGGAGGTGACGCGGCTGTGCTGCCTCACGCTGTGTGTGCCGGTGTTTGTGTCTGTGCCCCGGGCCTGTCTGTCCCCCTTGGCTGCTGGGCAGGGCCTGCCGGGGCCTGTGGGGCCGCGCTGGGCCCCGGGACTGACCGGGGGCTGCACACTGACCCGGGGCTGCACACCCTGACCGGGGCCTGCCCCTTGACCGGGGGCTGCACGGGGACCGGGGGCTGCCTGTGTCACCTCTGTCACCGTGCGGCTCTGGGCTCTGCTCTGCCCAGCCCATCCCACTCTGCTCTGGTCCCAAACTCCCCTCCCAATCTCTCCTCTCAACCTCCCCTGACCAGAGACAGTTTTCTTCACTTTGCAGTGACTGTCAGGAGACAGACAAGTGATTCAGTTGGTGACACATCCTACACAGTCTTCACGCTCAGGTCTCCAGTGTTGAAGTAGTTTATTTTACCAATGAAGTAGTGCTGGTTTTTGTGTTAATAGACTGATTGAGTCCTCCTTGACACAGAATTTCCGATTCACAGCTTGTTGCTAGATTCGGAACTCACCCCTGAACTCTGTTTGACAACACATTAATTCTGACTCTGAACAGAGACAGAATCAAGTACACAATACAGTTCTGCTGGGGGAAATGTTTCCTAATCCTTTACTTGCTTAAGACCGAATGACCTGGGCCATCAGAATGGCTTCTGGTCTGTTGGCAGAGAGAATGTGATACTAGAAAAGCACACTAAATCAGAATGAAGCTGCTGCAGTCCACACAGGGTCAGTTCTTAGCACATCCCTCTGCACTCCAGCATGGCAGGGTTACAAACCTGGCATCTCCAGCTCTGGAATGCTGTAGGAAGAACATCCCAAGTAGCTGAGGTTCAAAGCTTTTGCTCTCAGAGCTGGGGTGGAGGCAGTGTGGAGGAGCCTGTGAAGCCCCTGCAGAAGGCAGAGATCTGCTCTGCTGCCTGACTGGGCCCAGAGCTGTCTTTCTCAGGTTTTTGAAGGACTGGATAAAGCTGTGAAGATAAAAAGGGAGTTTCCTCTGCCTTCTTGGAAAGCTCTCAGCTGAGTGGGAGCGGTCACAGTGCCACCCAGGAGGCTGTGCCAGCTGGGAGGTGCCACTGTCCTGTCCCTGCACATGCTGGGCTCCAGGCACTGGCACGGGCAGCTGCTTGCCAGCACTGCTGCTGCATTTGTGTCTGCAGCAGGGGCAGGGATGGAGCTCCACATCAATGCTGGGGTTCCCTAGTGATTCTGCATCTGGCAGGGCCCTGGAGAGGGCAGGAGGCTGTAAGGGTGAGTGGTGGCGTGGCTGGTGGGAGTTGAGCAGGGAACAACAACAAACAGCTGCTGTGCGTTCGTGACTTTGCCTGGGACAGTTTGCTGTTCCCAGGAGCTGTTCCAGAGCTGTGTTGGGTTCAGGATGAGGCTCCTGTTGATAACAGCCCCACGGCTCAGCTGCTGTGAGCAGCGCTTGCACTGAGCCAAGGACTCGCCAGGCTGCCCGGGCAGGGAGGAGCTGGCAGGGGCAGAGCCAGGAGAGCTGCCCCAGTGCCCAGAGGAGGTTGCAGAGCACAGGGCATGGTGCTGGAGGAGACACTGAGGGGGTCTGGCCACTGCTGAGGGGGTGGCTGGGCACGGCTCAGAGGGTGGTGAGCAAGCACCCTGTGCAGCACTTGGTCTGGATATTCCTTTATATGGTTATTGTCATTTTCCTTTTCTGTCCTATTTAACTGTGTTTATCTGAGCCCAAAAGTTTTGCCTTTTTTTCCTGATTCTCTCCCCCATCCAGGGACTTGGAGTGACCTGGTCCAGCGCAAGGTGCCCCTGCCTGTGGCTGGGGTGGGATGAGATGAGCTTTAATGTCCCTTCCAACCCAAACCATCCTGCAACCCCTGGGGGGTGAATTTCCAGTTTAACAATTAATTTCCTTTCATTGCAGAGAGAAGAGAGGCGTAGATCCCTGCAGGCCCTGATGCAGAGGAAGAGGTGAAGGGAGAAGCTGCTGCTGGGCCTCTTCCACCACTGAAACAAAGGAGAGAGAGGGCGAGTCACCGATGGACAGGGCAGGAGCTCTGCCTGACACTGCAGGTGGATCTCCCAGCCCTGCTGAGACACAGAAGGAGGAAGAGGGATCCTCCCTGCTGGGGGATGTCACAGCTGCAGAGAACCACACCGAGCCCTCGGCTCAGCGCGGGGCTGGCGACTCTGCTGAGGCGGCGTCCCTGCTGAGGAAGGTGAGGGTCGTGCTGGGGAGCAGCTGTGAGTTGTTGCTCTCTTGTGTGAAGTGAGCAGGCCAGGCTGCGTCCCCCCCTTCCCCCTGGCCACGCCGGGGAGCTGCTGCCTGGCTGTGCTTGCTGAGGCTGTGCTGTGTGCTGGGCTGTGCTTGCGGAGCTGCGGTGCCAGGAGGGGGAACCACAAATTACATGAGTCAGCTGAGACACTGCAGGCTGCTCCGTGCTCCTGCTGAGCAAGTCTTGAATATTAAACCTACACAGCTCCCGAGAGTTATTTGCATTTCACTGGCTGGCCTTGTCCCTCCTCTTCCTGATCATTCCCCGTTAGCCCTGTGTTGCAGGAAGATGTCAGCACTTGCTGCAATGGAGGGGATGACAAAGAATTGCTGAAGCAATGAATAAACAGACATTGTGGTCTTTGTTTTTCTCTCTTTAATAGAAAGGGAAGAAGACCAAAGCAAAGAAGTCTATCTCTGGGGACCAGGACTCTCTGCCTCCTCAAAGCACAGCACCAGCTCAGACCACAGAGCTGCCTGACACAGGTGCTGCTCCTCCAGAAACCCAGCCCCCCGGCGGTGAGGGGGCAGACCCAGGTGCTGATGGACGTGCTGATGCCGGTGGAGACGCACCTGGAGGCGAGAGGGATTTGGCACAGCTGGGGAAGGGAGCTGGCAGCCCGGGAGCAGAGGGGCTGAGCCCTGCAGAGCGGAGCAGCACTGCCGGGGGGGCTGCCCCAGCTCCCGGTGCCACGGCCCCGGGGGACAAGGTGGGGGATGGCACGGCCCCGGAGCACGCAGGAACGGCCAGGGACGGTGTGGAGCGGGGCACTGGTGCCCCTGGCCAGCCACCAGCAGCCACAGCCGGTGCCCAGGCCCGGGGCAGCAGCCAGGAGCGGCTGCCAGCAGGGCAGGGAGCCGGTCCCTCTGCCAAGGGAGCCGTCCCTGGCAGTCCCAGGGCACCTCCTGCCCGGGGAGCCCCCCAAAGCAAGGCCGAGCCCAAGGCCTCCCCCGGGGCTCCGTGCCCGCCGGCTGGGAAGGAGCCCAAGCAGAAAGGGACCAGTTCCACTGCCAAGGTGAGTGTGGGTGAGCTCTGGTGAGGGTTCAGCAGGCACAGCTCCCCTCTGCCAGTGGGACTTGCTTGTACTGTCAGTGAGGCTGAGGAGCACCAGCCCAGGGGTACAGGGGTGAATTGGGGAGGCTCTAATTTGGGTTCTGTTCTCCTGGGTGCCAGTTGTAACCCAGCTCTTACTGAGGGGTTGCTCAGATGCCCCCAGGACTGGGAGGTGTCTCTTCTCCAGCCAGCCATGCTCTCTGGAGAGCTCTGGGATCCCCTTGAATGAGGGGATTTGGTGCTTTGCAGGTGCCTGTGTGCTCTGCAGGCCGGGTAAGCTGAGGTTGCTGTGGTTTCTCTTTCACTTTCCTTATGCCCCATCCTCTGGGACCCGGGGCTCATGAGCTGACTGTGTGCTGTGTGTTTGTGTCGGGCTCCTCTCCTGCTGGCTGTTTTCCTCAGCCAGCAGCTTCCCTCAGCGAGGGATCAGTGTTTGCAGTGCTCCCAGGGGACTGAAGCTGCTGCTGCACCAGTGTTGGGGGCAGGTGGGCAGTAGAGCGGAAGGTGCTGCACTGTTGATGGAAGGTGTGGGCATCTTGACTCTGGTGGGCCAGGAGCCCTGGGAACATCAAACAGAAATGTAGGGGAGGAAACGAAAAGGAAATTGGCATTGTTTAAAGGAAGTCATGCAAGACTGCAGGTGCAAGGCTGTGGTTAAGCAGTATAGCTGGGAAACACGAATAATGTGGTTATTGCTCAGCAGTGAAAGGTTTTACCCAAGGCTGTAAGAGTATATAAATGGAGTTGCAGAAACAATAAATGGCTTCTTGCTTGCACCAGGAGCCCCATCTCTCAATCACCAGCACACCGGGAGGAGATGCTGTGCTTCCAGGGGCTCCTGTTTCATTGGGCTTTGTTTGTCTCCCTGATGCAGAATGCAGACACAAAAGAGAAAAATCAGACCCCAGGTGAGAAAATGCCCAACGTGAGTGAGAAGACAAGTCTGAACCAAGGAGCCAAGGCTGCCAGGAAGGAGAGTGCTGTGGCTGCTGCAGACAGCCCCAAGAACAAAAAGGAACAAAAGAACCAGAAACAGGTGGAAAATATTAAAGAAAGGTGAGAACAGCCCTGCTGCTCCCCAGCATTCTTCCCTAACAGGAGTTGCTGTGAGGAGGACTCAGGACTCCAGCCTGAGGTGCTGGGATGGGGTCAGTGCTTACCTTGGATATGTGGAAATGGAATTGTCTTGAAACTGAGGTGAAGTGGTTGTGCATGACAGAACCAGTGTTGAATGGGACCTCAGCACAGGTGATGTCCTGGGGGATGTGTTGAACCTGCTTGAGCATCTGATGGACAAAAAAGAGATTATTCTCTTAGTTCTTGCTCTTATGAGCTACATGTGTTGCACCCACACAACGCTTCAGGTGAATAGTGTGAAGAGCTGTTTGGATGTTTTGCCTAATGTGTATGAGCTGGAAGGGGTGGGAACTGTGACTCTGCTGGGCCAGAGCATCTCCTGCTGCCTTTAGGAGCCCATTTTTCCTTTTTGCCCTGGGCTTTTCCCTAGGCCTGCTCAAACATCAGTCTGAGTGAACGCTGCCAGAGTGCATGGGTCTTGCAGCCACTCAGCTCGAGTGTGATTTGAGGTTTGCAGTGATTTGTGCAATTGAAGAATGCCAACAGAATCCCTTCTGTTCTTTGCTGCAGTTCTGTGAGCCGCACTGAGGGTGTCACAGTGTATTTCCATGCAATACTATCCAAAGACTTCAAGCTCAACCCCGACACTGACAAAGTGTTCATCAGGGCCCAGGGCATTCCTTCCTACGCCAGCTGGAAGGACAACATCTGTGAGCTGAACTGCACCAGGTGAGTGTCCCCTGCTTGGGTCCCTCTGGGGCCTCAGCCTCTGTGCTGGGGCTGCAGCAAAGGGTTTCACAGCGGGGAAAGCTGCTCTGAAGTGTTCTTGTGAAAGAACCGTCACTGTTCCTATTAGAAATGGAGCAATGCGTGGAAAAGGAGGTCTGTAGATCACCTAACGTGTCCTTTGCCTGCCTTTGCTGTGTTTGTGTCTCCAAGGAGTCTGGGAGAGCATGGATACCTCATTGAAGGCGCTGTAACTCTCAGCAGAGAAATCCTGGATAAATACATTCCTTACAAGTACTGGGTGTCCTGTGGGAAGGGGGATTATGAGTTCATCTACAAGAAGTCAGAGTCCAATCAGCACGTGAATCGCTGCTTGTCGATAAACAGGGCCCTTCTCAACAATGGGGGTGAGCTCTGCTGCTGGGCCTGCACCCTGGGGTGATCCCTGTCTGGGCTGCTGGGGGTATTGCTGAGGCAGCTGGAAGGGAAAAGGCCCTGATTGCAATGGTTGTTGCCCTGTGTTCCTGTTCCAGAGTGGCACCAGTACGATGACATCGTGTGCGCGAGGCCTTCCAAGCTCAAAAACATCTGGCAGATCTTAACTTTTGATAAAACCAAGGAAGTGGTGGAAGGGAAGAAAATAGCTGCCAATATTATGTTAGAAAGTATCTTCAGCATTCTTGGAACCTGGAGTCCTGACAATCTGAGGAATTTCTTCTGCCAGCTGAGGCAGTTCCATAACGTTGCAGGAGCCCAGCGGGTGTTTGATGGCAAGGCAACGGTGTGGAGAGAGTTAAACTTCAGCACAGAGCAGGTAATCCCCCTTCTCTTGCACAGAGACAGAAAACATTCTGTCACTGAACCCAAGCTTTAATGTTGCTGTTGACCTCGCTGGGTTAATTTTGCTTTTCCAGTCCAAGTTCAGGCACAGAAGCAGTGGGGATCCTTCTGGGGTGGCTTCAGTCAGCCTGTGCACCTCAGTGTGGTTCTGAGACCCCATGGGGGTCAGCAGCAGGGCTGTGACGTGGTGACTTCCCACCTGAGTGGGTTTTGTGTCTGGGTATTGATTTCCTAAGCCTTGCCATTAAGTTTTGCTGCCAGTTGTTCTGTCACTGACAACTCTGCACTCATGTCTTGCTGCAAACCTGCCTGCTTTTTGGGAGAAGCTCCTGATCTTGTTCTAAGCAGTGATGCCAGCAGGGCTTCTGGAATCCAAAATGTCTTACTTGACATAATTAGGAAATGCGACAGAAATGCCACATTGCCTTCTTTGGTTGTTGGGGCTGCTCCTTCCTGTCCTGTGGCCTCGCTGGAACTGGCAGAAGACATTGGCTTCAGAAGACAGACTTATGCTGTGCTTGCTTTGTTTCTTCTCTTCTTTGCCCCAGGTGAATGATTTGCTGCTAAAATACATGAAGAAAATAGCTGTCCCTTTCCTTGCACCAGAAGCAGCTCCAGAGGACAGGATCATCCAAAGCAAGCTGGCTCTGGGGCTCACCATTGTTGTGGTAGTTGAGGACTATTCATTCCCAGTACCTAAAAGTGACCTGGCCGACCTGTGCAGCCTCCTGTGCTTGGATCAGGTGTCACCCCAAGATGTACAGGATGAGATCCATCACATCAAACAGGCTTTTGCAGGAGTTACCAGGTAAGTGCTCCATGTACCTTCTAACTGACCAGGCTGGTGTTGCTTTGATAAAGCAACAGGAATCCGGCTCTCTACTGCCAGAGAACCAGAGAACAAGCTACATTTGAAGGTATTTTTGGAGGTCTCAATTCCAGCCTCCTGCCTGAAGCAGGGCTAACATCCAGGCAAGGCTGCAGTGCACCATTCCACACCTGTTGGTTGGTTTCTCCTGGAAACCAGGTTGTGATCTGACTGCTTAGCTGGAGCTGGATGTGGAGTTCTTCACTCACACAGCTGCAGCCATTGCATTTCTTTCTGGAGCCCTTCTCTGTGTGGCTGTCACAGGGCTGGGGTGGCTCGTGGGGAGGCTGTAGCTGAAGGATTGGGTCTGTGCAGAGAGATTCAGCCACATTGCAGCTCTGGGCCTTAAACCTGCACAGGTGCCCTCTGCAATGAAGAGTAGATGGAGCTGAAATAATGCCCAGAGGTTAATTAAAGGCACACAGAGAGATTGAAACGCAGCCTCCCACACCCCTAGGGTGTTCTCAAGGCTGGGATAAAGCTGCCCTTTCACTCAGTGTGTTTGTTTGGTTTTGTTTTATTTAGCTTGAAGGTCGACCTGACAAACTTGTGCCAGAGGTGCCTTGAGTGTAACGTGGAGCAGTGGGTGTGGGTCCTGCCCCTGCTGCATTCCTTTGCTGCTCCCCTGCAGCAGGAGCACGGGCTGCTGGAGGAGGATGCCTGGGCAGGGCTGGAAGGGCTTCCATTTGCTGAAATCAGGAGGAAGCAACATGGGTGAGTTTTCCAGAGCTCCCAGTCTCTCCCAGTGCACTCCTCATCTCTTTTATTTTTTTTTTTTTTTTGTTTTTCCCTCCCTCATTTTTAAAGAGTTTGAAATGTAGCACGTTTGGGGTATTTGGGCACAGGCACACTGGTGGCTCAGAGGTCACTGAGTCACGGTGTGACCCCTCAAACACAACCCCCCCAGTTCTGGCAGCCAGGGAGGAGCTAAAGCTGCTCCTCTTGTGTACAGTCTGAGCAAGACCTGGAGTTTCTTGTGCTTGTGCTCAGTGGTTTGGTTCTGCAGTGCCACCCCAGGGACTCCCACTGATCTCAGCTGCAGGGACAGAAGCACAGGAATGAGGAGGAGGCTCCTGTGTGGGCTGCACGAGCTCAAGGCCTTTTGTTCCTTGGAATGCTGAAGGTTTTGTTTTGTCTCCCCTCCAGAGGGACCCTGCTGGCACGAATGAGAGAAAAGAAGCACCTGATGGAACTTGATGGGACTCTGGTCAAGTCCTGGCTCTGTGTGCTGCCCCTGGGGAGCCTGGCTGAGTTCATAAGAGACTTCTCCAGTGAGCTCTTAGTTACCCTTCAGGGTGTTCTGTACAGGCTGGAGAACGTTGACCTCTCGTGGAGCCGCTCTCAGGTTTGTCTTTGGGCAGCTCTGGGATGAGGGCTCACACTGGGCTGCTGGCTGTCCTTGAGCACCACTGAGGGCACTGGGCTGGCAGCAGGTCACAGCACAGAGAGCTTCAAACCTGGCTGACAGCAAAACCAGCTGCTCTGAAGTCAGACACTCCTCAGGGGGAGAGTTGGGATTATCTGCAGCAAAAAGTGGTGTTGGCATTGATGAGGGGAGGGTTTCTTGGCTGCATTTGCTCTTGGTTAGTGATGGCAAATATTTCACTCCTGACCTCCTCAGACATCTGCTGAAACTGATTTTTGCGCAGGAGGGTTGGGCAAGGGGCTGCTGGTTTGGGAGATTTTCCTGCTGTTGTGAAAACTCTTGTGTTGGTGTGAGGACAGCAGGAGTAGGGCCTTGCAACTAATAATAGATTTGAGACCTCCAAATTGCAAGTACAGCTTGGGTTTGTGCATATAAAAGCTGCCCTAGTATTGGCTCTGACATCCAGTAAATAAGCTCTGCTATTTTACAGTGTATTTATGATAATGTTGGAGAAGATGCAAAAGAATAGTGAGTTCCTTCTTCCTCAGCTAATCAGAAATCAGTCTGTACAATTTCTTCCACAGTTTCGTATTTTTGTCTTTCCAGTCTCAGGTAGAGGAGATTCTCAACACAGTGCTGAGTGCCTTGGAGGAGCCCCCAGCCAGGTAAGTGCAGAGCACCTCTGGGAGAGCATTGTCTGCCTCTGCACCAGGGCTGGGGCCCTGCTTGTGTGCCTTGAAATCTCTGTGGAGAAAACAATCCTGGAGTTCTATCCCAGTTTTAAATCCAGCTGAGGGGAGGCAGCTGCCACACCGTGTTGAATTTGGTGGGGTTTTTACTTTGTTTTTATTTTTTTTTTTTTTATTTTTCCTCTGAGCAGAAAATTAACTGTCCCTCTGTGTTGCTGCCCTGCAGAGCTCTGGGGGCTCCTTCTTGGCAGGGCTGCTTGTCCTGCTGCCTCAGGCTGCACGAGAGGCTCTGCAAGGCTGCCAGGACTGGGAGCTTGTTCCTGATCCCGGCCACTGCTGCCACCCTGATTGCCAAGGTTGCCCAGCTTCAGCCCCCAGCTGTGAGTACCAAGAACTCTTGGCTTGATGCCAGCAAGGTACCCAGAAATGTCACAGGAGTGGCACAACACGCTGGGTTTGGGTCAGACCCAGCCTCAGCTTGAAGAATTCACACTCTGAGCAAGACTGTGGTACTCTCAGAGAGGTGTGGAGTCACCTGATGAGTTTGGTTCTTATTGGAAATAAGGTCAGGTGCTCAGGTTTGCTGTGATAAGCTTTGTTTTAAGGCTGGTTTTGTTTCCCCTTAAACATTTGCTGTCTTTACTTCCTGGAACAAGCTTAAGCACAGCCTGCCTGTAAGCACTGCACTTTCCCAGCCTCTGCTCTTTATTCAAGCAGTGCTGGGTCTGTTGCTGGCCTCCTGTGTGTTCTGGGTGTGTTTGGGCCTTCTCTTTAGAAATACTGATTTAAATCAGTTGTCCACTGCTGTCCTGCTTGAGCTGTGCTTATTTTGTTGTCTTCCCCCCTGTGTGGGCAGGTTCCAGGGGATGCTGTGCAGGAAGTGCCAAGGCTGCTCAGTGGAGCTCTGAGGGAAGCTCGTGCCTGGTTCAGAAACGTTTTAAAGGAGAAGTTACTGAAGGAGTACCTGCACCACGTGGCCTTCTCTTTGTTCTTTGAGCTTCGGGTCTGTTACCTTCTGATAATGTCAGTACAAAGGGGCTTGGCAGTGGCTTAGCCAGGGTCTTGAGTCTGCTGCTCTTTGCTGGGCTCTGCAGCTGTGGCTGGGTAAGGAATGGGTGGGATGGGCAGTGTTGGAGCTCACCTCTGTTCTGCTCATCCTTGGTGCTCCTGAAGGCACTGCTGGGGTGAGGAGCTGCCCCTTGGTGTTGTCCTGCTCCCAGTGTGTCCCTCTGGTCGTGCTCAGGCCTTCCAGCAGGCAGAGCTCAGAGCAGCCCTGCCAGTCTGAGCTGCTGCTCCCGGCCCTCCCTGGGACTGATTGCAGCAGCAGGGTGGAAGTGGCTCATCCAAAGCTCTCCTTCAGCAGCTGAGACACTTACACACTGTTTGGGCTTAGGAGCTGCCCTTTGCAGCTCTGGGAGTGCTCCTTTTCCTCAGGGTGGAAACATCTGGAAGGGCTGCAGACTGTCTGAGGCGTGCGGGGCATCGCTTCTACATTGTTCTTTTCATTTCCTTTCTCTGTGAAATCCCAGCACTCAGTGCTTTGGCTTGGTGTGCTTGTCCCCTGCAGGCCTGGAATAAGTTTGTGACCATCAGCTTTCCAGATGAGCAGTTCACCCAGACCTGGAGGAACACTTTACTTGCAGATCTGAAGAAAAGAATCCAGCAGGTAGGGGAGACTCCAGGCAGCCTTGGCTGCTGTCCAGAGCAGATGCATGGCTTGTGCTGAGCTTGCGGCAGGACAGGTGCAGAGTGGCTTTGGCCATGACAATGTCCCACTCTGTAACCTTGGTCAGAGGCCTGGCTGCAGGTCCTGGTGCTTCAGAGGAAATCCACATTCTGAGCAATTGTCACCTCTGTGGGTTTAAGAACCAGCGAGTGCAAAGTAAACACCCAGGGGCCCAGAAAAGCTAAGTTGGTGCCTCTCTTTTCATTCCTTGTGCTGTTCAGGCTCCCAAATGCACACCCAGCTGTTAGTCCCTTCCAAAGAGACACTGTCCATCTCCTCATCTCCTTCCTACAGCAGTTGCACATTTCCTTAAGCCATTGATTTTCACAGTGAAATCAGGAAACAAATAATTTCTGCTGTGAGCTTGGCTTGGAGAGGTGGATATTAAGTAATCACACTCTTTAGATGGAAGTCATTAAAGTCTTTTCCAAGCATTTATTTGTTTGATCTCTCTCCCAGGCCCTCAGAAATGGGCTGGTGTTCAGGTTCCTTTTATTGTCCTGATAGCAGCACTGCTTCGTGCTGCCAGCAGAAACACTTTTGAGTTGATGAGAAATCTCTCTTTTGCCCTTCAGGAGCCTCCAGTGAACCAAATCTTGGTGTACTGCTGTCAGCATCTCCAAATCACACAGATGGACCCCTCCATCAGCTGGTGCTTCCACAACTGTGCTGTAGAGGCTGTGCCTGCAGCTTGCCAGGTATGGTGTGTGCCCTGGTAGGGGAAGGGAAGAGACAGAAAAGTGGAATTCCCCAGCAATTCTGTTGCACAGGGGTGTGCCTCATGGTGGAAGGGGAAGGTGGATGTTGCTCGAGCTGCTGTGGATTGTTTGTTAAAGCAACAACAAAAAATATCAACAAGAAATCAGGAAATGAGGTCCCTGAGGAATATTTGTAATGTGTTCCCACTGTGAGCTCTGGAGTCAGTTGTGTCACAGGGCTGGTTTGGCAGGCACAGACACAGCGGGACCCCAGAGTCTGACCCACCCCTGCCCTCTCTGTGTGCCCTGGCAGATGCAGAGCAATCTCCTGGAGCAGATCTCTGCCTACAACATGGGCCAGTTCAGCCAGCTCGTGTCTGCTGTCATTGTCAAGTCGTGGCCAGTCAGGCCTGGGCAGTCTGAGGGTGATTTTGATACGATTCTGCACCACCTGCTCACGTGGCCTGACATCAAACATACCTTCAGCTTTAATGGTAGGTCTGTAGTTGGGTTTTAGGGGGCCAGAGAAGCTTTTCTCTGCCCCGCTGCTGCCACTGCACAGAGCAGCAGAGAGGAATTGTCCTGCTCTTGTTTTAGTCCCTATCTCAAAGCTTGAACTATTCAGCTTGGAGAGGGAACTATTTGGGTTTGGAGAGGGAAGGCCAAGGAAGAGGGAGCCACTATTCCTCTTGTGCTAATCCACTGCAGCTTCCTCGGGATTTGTGGACCATACCTTCTTTCTCTGAGGAGTTCTCACAAGTTATTGGCACACAAAAATGCCCAAAGAGTTGGCCAAGTGAATGGATCCTAGTGGCTTTTGTTTGCCCCACAGGGTTTGGGTCTGGGCTCTCCATGGAAAGTTTCCAAATTGCTGCCCTGAGATCCTGGCTTTGTTCAAAAAGACATGAGGGCTTGGAGGGTGGTGTGAGCCCACAGGCGCTTGGGTAGGGTTCAGTGGAAATGGAAGGACTCTGTGCCATGGCATGGGAAAGTTCCTGATTCTCCCTTTGTGTCTGGAACAGGAACAAACAGAAACCTCCTGGACAAGCTGACAGAGGAAGCCAAGGATGTCATGGCCATAGCAGACTCTGTGCTCACGAGTGTCACCGACGACATCCACAGCGGCTGCATCCTGGTGAAACACCTGGAGGAGGTGTTCCAGCACCAGGAGCAGTTCCTCTGCATCTGGGAGACCAGTAAGGGATGGCTTCAAAGGGGCATGGTTGGCTGAGAGCATCACTGTGGTGATGCTGGGGATGCTCAGGAGGGCCTGCAGGGGTTGGGGATGCTCAGGAGGGGCTGGGGATGCTCAGGAGGGGCTGCAGGGGTTTGGGGATGCTCAGGAGGGGCTGGGGATGCTCAGGAGGGCCTGCAGGGGTTGGGGATGCTCAGGAGGGGCTGGGGATGCTCAGGAGGGCCTGCAGGGGTTTGGGGATGCTCAGGAGGGGCTGGGGATGCTCAGGAGGGGCTGCAGGGGTTTGGGGATGCTCAGGAGGGGCTGCAGGGGTTTGGGGATGCTCAGGAGGGCTGCAGGGGTTTGGGGATGCTCAGGAGGGGCTGGGGATGCTCAGGAGGGCCTGCAGGGGTTGGGGATGCTCAGGAGGGGCTGCAGGGGTTTGGGGATGCTCAGGAGGGGCTGCAGGGGTTTGGGGATGCTCAGGAAGTGCTGCAGCACTTTGGAGTGCTGTCCCTTAGCCTGGGCAGGGATCTCCCAGCTCCAGTTTGTGTTGTCACTGCAGGGTTAGTGACTCTGCAGTTCCCAGCCTGAGTTGGGATGCAGGGCTTGGGAAGCTCTGCTTTGTGACTGCAAGTGAGTTTTCTTTCAGAGCATCAGCAACGACCGAGTGAGGAAAAGGAGCTGCTCCAGAGAAGCCTGAAAGAGCTGCTGGCATTGAGGCATGAGGAAGTCACACAGCTCAGAAGAGAGGAAAAAGCAGTAGGAACCTTCCTGAGCATGTGCAGGAAGGTGCAGAAATCTGTGAGAGGTAGAGTTCTGGGGGAGCAGTCTGGAGGTGGCAACTCTAGAAAACAGCATTTTCCTTGAAAATCTCTGGGCTTTGGGAGCAGGTTTGATTCTAAGCCCCAAAGTGAGGGCGAGGAGGGGCGGGGGAAGTAAAACCAGAGCATTGAGGGGATCAAGTGAGTGATTGTGCATCAAATGACACTTGGAGGGCTCCACCTGCCTGGTAGCATTGTGTGGCTTGAGGGGTGGGCTGAAGGGAGCTGGAACCAGCCTGCACCAGCTGATCTCCCTCTGGCCTGTCTCTGGTTTACAGTGAATGTTGGTGAGGTGGCATTTCAACACTCAAAAGATCTTCGCTTCACAAGACTCAATCAAGTTGTGGTGCTGAGAAAGAGGCCCCTGCAGACCTTCTACAGCCTGAGCCCTGAGCTGAAAGAGTTTGTCCACAAAATGCACTCTTTCAAGGACAGCCTGATCTTCCAGCAGTTCTGGGAGGAGGCAGCACAGAAGGCAGGAGAGGAGTATGTGTGTGACAGTCCAGAGGAGGATGAGGAGGAGGACGAGGACGAGGAGGAGATTGCTCCTGAGCTGGACCTCGATGAGGTTTTGAACAGCGTGATCCGCCCTTGCTTTGACAGCTATGCCATGCTGTATGATGATCTCAGATCAGGAAGTCTCACGCTTTCTGCAGTGGATAGAACTTTCCAGGAATTCACAAATCATCCTGAGGATCTCAGGGTGGAGCTGAACACCATCTGTGGCCTTCAGCCTGCAGAGGACAGAGGCTGGGTTGACCTGCGAGTGCAGCAGATCCAGCAGTACCATGAAATGCATTTAACCTTGGATGCAGCCAAGATCATTGCCCATGTCAAAGAGAGTTTAGGCCTCTCTGGTGACTTCAGTATCCTGGAAAACTTGTTGCATATAGTAAGTATCCCTGAGCTTGGCTTTGTACTATCAGGGTGTTGGCTAAATTTGCACCTTCCCACAAGTCTACCCTACTTTGTCAGAGCCATTCCTTGAAGCAAAATGGTTATTTGAGGTAAAAATCAGATGTTCCAAGTGCTTTTGCGTAGTCATTCCTTAAAGGGAGGTGATGATGCTGCTCTGTTGGGGTGTGGCTTTGCAGAGGGCTTTCCTTTCCCTGCTGCAGAACCAGTGGCATTCCCAGTTCCAGACTCAGTGTGTGTTTGCACCATTTGCTTTCCAGACAGAAAAGCTTGAATCCTACAAGACCCAGAAGCTGGATTCCATCAGCCCTGAGCTCGTGCAGGCCAAGAAGCTGCTGCAGGGGATCACCGTGCCCCGCCGTGGCTGTCTGAGGGAGCTGGCCCAGCAGAAGGAGTTTGTCTGCTGGGTCAGAGAGGCACTGAAAGGTGTGTGCTGCTCACCCAGGAATCACAGAGTATGAGAAGGGATGGCAGATCGTGTGGGGGCAGAAGGAACACTGAATCCCTGACCCATCTGCTTTGTGCAGCTTCTGGTGCTGAGAGTTCCATCTCTGATGGGTTTTGGTGTGAAATGTGCTATGAAGACCCTTTAAAGGTGCCCAGGCACTGGTGCAGCACACAGGGACCACCCTGCTGGGAGCTGGGCTGGGCCTGGAGGGCTTCAGCAGCCGCTGCTGCTCAGTCCAGACCCGTTGTTTCAGGGGATGGAGCTGTGCGTGTGCCAGCTGAGCTGTCTGTCCTGCACAGCTCACCTGAGCACACCCCCCAGGCACTGCTCCCATCCTGGCTGGGGGCCTGTGGGGGTCCATGGATGGATGGATGGCCCGGGAGGGCTGATGGGGAGGGGGCAGTTCCCCAGGAGCTGCTGTTCCAAGCGTTCTCCCTGCAGTTGCTGTAGAGGGTGCGATGAGGGCTGGTGTCCAGCTGCCTCACACGTTGCTCACTCCCGTGTGCCTCGTTTCAGACATCAACGAGCTGAAGGTGTTTGTTGACCTGGCCTCCATCTCGGCGGGGGAGAACGACATGGACGTGGACCGCGTGGCCTGTTTCCACGGCACTGTGCACGGCTACTCCTCCCTGCTCTACGAGCTGCGCCACGACTCGGGCTTCGAGGACTTCATGCGCTGCTTGCAGAAGCTGTGGCGAGCCCTGGACAGCGACGAGACCCTCCCTGAGAAACTGGTGAGTGCCGCTGGAGCGGGGCCTGTGTGTCCTCCTGCCTCTCTGCCCTCCAGGAGTGGCTGGAAGTCGGGCTGCCCTGGCCAAATGGCACCTGTGACTCTTGTTATTGGAGGAAAAACAGCTGATATTCCTGTGGCACAAAAGTTCCCTGCAGCAGCTGTAGCTGGTGTTTCTCCAGGGCACCATGAGGCTTTCCAGTGTGATGTGGTGTGGCCTGGCTTGTGAAAGTTTGGTGGGGAAGAGGGGAGGCAAATGCCTGGGACCTCTTACCCCATTGCAGCAGGGCCTGCCTCTGTAGCAAGAGGTGTTGGGGCACTGTGGGCTCTGTTCAGCCTCCCATGTAAGGAAGAGCTGTGCAGATGGAGCAGACTGAAACCAGTACTCATTCCTTTCTTCCTTCTCCATCGCAAAACTCTCGTGGCAGCCCAAGCTGTTTGTCCTGGTCAGGTGTGAGCAGAGATCACATTTCAGAGCAGTCGGGCAGTGCAGTGTCTCCTCTCCCCACAGCGTGCCTCGGCCCAGCACCTGGAGTGGCTGAAGACAGTGAAGGAGAGCCATGGCTCGGTGGAGCTGTCCTCGCTGTCCCTGGCAGCTGCCATCAACAGCAGAGGGGTCTACGTGCTGAGGGCCCCAGCTGATGGCCAGAAGGTGAGGCTGAGGTCACCCATGTCCCTCTGCCCCCCCTGCCTGGGGCAGAGCTCAGCCCCAGCCACGCTGACAGCTCCTTCCTGCTCCTGGCAGGTCTCCTTGGACAGTGTCCTGCGCTTCACCCTCCCGGGGAGCTCGGGGGACACCGAGGCCTCCTGGAAGTACTCGCTGGCAGAGCTCCGCGAGCTGCAGAACAAGCTGATGCTCATGTCGGCCAAGGGAGAGCAAGGCCTGGAGGTGGAGAGGTTCTCCGAGGTCAGATTCAAACCCAGAGGGTTACTGGTGTTGGGGCCAGGCTGGCTTTTCCCTGCTGTCAGGACTGTGGCTCACAGTGGAGTTGCTGGGGGTGGTGGTCACAGGCACGTGGGTGTTGCCGCCTTTGGTTCCTTGCTAAGGTGGAACTAAGCTGGAGACAGAACAGTGAGCTGGTGGCTTTTTCCTCTGGCCGTGCTGGGGATTGTCCTGGCTGACAGCATCACTGTAATTTTGTAGCAAGCTGGGAGTTCCTTCCTGATTTCCCGGGGATGCTGCAGTTAAAAAGTCACAGAGTCTGTGGCTGCTGTGCAAGGCCTGACACATCTTGGGGCCAAAGACTTTCTCTTTGTTGAATGTCTTTCCAGTGGTTTCATGGCTGAAACTCATAAATCAGCTTGTTTCTCTCTCCTCTGTCCTCCCACAGGTCTTTTCCAATGTCCAGAGACTTGCCCAGGCCTTTATAGACCTGTACTCAGCTGGGAACATGCTTTTCCGCTCCTGGCTTGCTCAGGTGTATTGCTCACCCCACAAAGAATCCTGTGTTTTTATAGACTTCTCCCTGGGCCCCATCCCAGTGCTGGAAGGGCAAGGGGATATGGCAGCTGTGCTCCCAGCCCTCTGCAAGACCATGGAGAGTTTCCTGGAGAGCTGGAAAAGCTTCATGAACGCCAAGCGTTGTGAGCATTTCTACCTGAACTACTACAGCGCGGAGCAGCTGGTGTTCCTGTGCTCAGAGCTGGGCAGGGGCAGCCCCAGCCAGGCTGCCCTCATGATGCTCTCCTTCCTCAACCCCCACTGCACCGAGCAGGATGTGCTCACAGCCCTCGAGAGCCGGGGCCCTCCCAGCTCAGCCCAGGCTGGCTCTGACTTCCAAGTGCTGCTGGACGGGGAGGGGGACCTGAGCGCGCGGCTGGAGCGCATCTGGGAGTGCTACATGAGCAACATGGGCTCCTTCCTCCCCAGCTGCCTGGACGTGGACACGCTGGGCGTGTGGCTGAAGAGCCTGGCCAGCAGGGGCAGGGGTCGCGTCACCAGAGCCTTCCCTCAGGACCTGCTCCACGTGGGCCAGCCCAACCTCATCAGCTGCCCTCGCTCCGAGGTGCTCAGCTCCGCCCTGGCCATTTACATGAACAGCCCCGAGCAGCCCCTGCCCACCTTCGACGAGGTGCTGCTGTGCACGCCCCAGACCAGCGCAGAGCAGGTGGGGCTGTTCCTGCGCCGCTGCCTCATCCCCTGCCAGGGGGGGAACAAGATCTACACCATGCTCTACGCCGATGAGCTGAGCTACGACGTCAGCAAGAGGGCAGAGGAGCTGTTCCAGCACCTGCAGTGCTACAACAGCTCCTACAGGCTCATCATCCTGTGCAACTGCGAGGGGGAGAACAGCTACCTGCCCTCTGCCTTCAGCCACTGCAAGGTGCACATGATTCCCCAGAGGCCACGGGCAGAGATCCAGCAGTACCTGCAGCGCCACCTCCGAGTGCCCCAGCCCTCCGACTCGGCCGCGGCCGTGTTCAAGGAGCACATGTGTGTTGGGATTGTGTCCTCCAAAAGAGCTGGCATGGGTAAGATGGCATGGGCGGCGTGGGCTCTGCTGAGAGCTCAAAAGCGGGGTGGGGTTGCCCTTGCCAGGTTTTGTGTCAAGATTTAAGTGTCTCGGTCAAAAAGAGCAATTCAGACTTGTCAGTGCAGGGAGGTGAAAGCTGGAAGTCACCTTGTCCCATGGTTTGACTTCAGAAACAAGCACAAAAGAGAATAGACTCAAGTCCTAATAAAGAGTAAAGCTTCTCTCAGGCAGTGGAAGGAAAATAAAGCTTATAGATAAACAAGAGCCATGTGTTGGATTCCAGGCTCCAACCAGCTGCTCAAACCAGATTTAGACTTTCTTCTGGAATGCCTTTTTGGAAGCTCCAGAGATTTTAGGGCATGGAGTACTTAAGCATTTTATTTCCTTCTGTCTATTATGGTCTTAATGTGATATATCTGATATTGATAGCTGTAATTCTTGTGGTGTTTTTAATAACAGGGAAATCTCTGTATGTGAAGAGGCTGCATGAGAGACTGCAAGAAGAGCAGCCTGATTGCACAGAACTTCTGAAAACCATCAGACTGATTGAACCAGAAGTGGATGAAGATAAAGTGCTAAAATCTCTCCTGCCTTTTCTGAAGAAAGAACACCAGACAAAGCCCATGATATTCCATTTTGATATCACCTCCTCAGTGAGTACATCCCTCCCTCTCACAGCTGCCTTGTCTTACAGGTGCTGTGTGGACCCTTTCAGGAGCTTCTTTAAAGCTCTTGTTTCCCATCCAGCCATTTCCCTAGCTTGTGTTCTATTGTGTAAGTAACACAAATACCATTCAGGTGATTGAACTCTGGAGCAGTTGCCCAGAGAAGCTGTAGAGTCTCCACCTTGGAGACATTAAAAACCTGACTGAATGTGGCCCTGGGCAGCCTCTTCTAGCTGGGCCTGCTTTGAGGAGAGAGCCTCCCCACCCTCAGCTGTTCCGTGATTCTGTGAAGTTGTGATGCATAAATAAAGAAGTGCTTTGCTATCTCTCCTTGTGACAGGTGCAGCGTGGCATTCCAGAGTTTCTCTTCAAGCTGTTGGTTCTGCAGTACCTGACAGATAATAATGGCAATATGTGGCTAAGGCAGAAGTGTCACCTGTACATCATTGAAATCCTGGAGGGGTCCCCAGTGCCAAAGACAACAGCCAGACCTGTAGGTACCAGCAATGCTCCTTTCTGGGAATTTCTCAGTCACTTTGCACGTGTTTGTACATAGCTGTGGTGAGCTGTAGAGACTGTAACTGTGAACACAGCACAGGAGTTCCCTGTTTCATTGGAGCTGTGCTGTATTCCATAACAAACTGGTGTCCCTGGTGTTGTACAAAGTGTCACTAACACCAGACAGCAAATTAGGCCTGGTTTCATTGGGTTGATGATTTCTGAAGGAATGATAGTCTAAGCCTCACTGCCCCCACTGTAACATTTATAGGAAACATAAAAATGCAAAATCCAATCTCCCTCATGGTAATTTGCATGTTTGAAAATAGGGGAATATTTATATGGATCTGTAAGAACAGAATGTAGAAGCAAGTGGAATAAATACCAGCAGTTTCTTGGGTTTAGTTTTCTTTGAAGCAGCCTTGAGAAGGGGCTGGAGGTGATGCCAGGCTCATGTTCCTGGAAGGAAAATGTAGGAGGGAAGAGGATTCCTTGGTGCACTTTAAAAGGATGAAGGGATGCACGGGGAAAAGGCTGGCTCCTGTTCCTCAGGTCTGTGGTTTTAGGCACGGAGACTGTTAAGAACAGATTAACTAAGCTGATGAAGAGTGAGGCTGCAGCTCTGTGATGACCTTTTCTTTTCTTTTTCTCCTCTCCAGATGTCAGTGAACCAGAAGTATCACTTCTTGGATGTGTTCCCTAAAATAACATGCAAGTCTCCCAAAGAAGTGCTGGAAATGGAGACACTTGGGAACTGTGCCGGGCATGTGGGAATGGACGAGGAGGAGTTTTGCAGTGAGGCTTTCCAGAGACCCTTCCAGTACCTGAAGAGGTTTGACCAGGGCTGTAACCTGGACAGGTTCTGCTACGAGGCGCTCTCGGTGGAAGGCAGCCCTGCAGAATGCCTGCAGCTCTTCCTGCTGCACTGCGGGGTCGTGGATCCCTCCTGGGCAGAGCTCCGCAACTTCACCTGGTTCCTCAACGTGCAGCTGAGGGACTGTGAAGCCTCTGTCTTCTGCAACCCTGACTTTGTCGGGGACACTCTGAATGGCTTTAAGAACTTTGTGGTTGGCTTCATGATTCTAATGGCACGGGACTTTGCGACGCCCTCCCTGAGCATTTCCGACCAGAGCTCGGGAAGACGATCCTCCCACCTGGAGAACGTTCCGGAGGAAGATCTGCTTCCTTTCCGCATCAGGAAGAAGTGGGAGTCAGAGCCTCATCCCTACCTGTTTTTCAATGAGGATCGTGTGTCCATGACATTCATTGGCTTCCACTTCCAGCAGACCAGGAATCGCATTGATGCCATCAATCCTCTGAACGGGACTGTCATCAAGAAGGACATCATGACCGCCCAGCTCTACCAGGGCCTGTTAATGCAGAGGGTTCCCTTCAACGTGCCCTTCGATCAGCTGCCCCGCAACGAGAAGCTCGAGAGGCTCTGCATGGTGCTGGGGCTGCCCTGGGTGTTTGACCCTGATGAGACCTACGAGCTCACCATGGACAACATGCTGAAAATCCTGGCCATCGAGATGCGATTCCGCTGCAACATCCCCGTGGTCATCATGGGAGAAACGGGCTGTGGGAAGACCAGGCTGGTGAAGTTCCTGTGCCAGTTACGCAGGAGCTTCATCGAGGTGGAGAACATGAAGCTCGTCAAGGTTCACGGAGGTACCACTGCGGAGATGATCTACGCCAGGATCAGAGAAGCAGAAGCCCTGGCTATATCCAACAAGGAGCAGCACGGCTTGGACACCGTGCTCTTTTTTGACGAAGCCAACACGACGGAGGCCGTGAGCAGCATCAAGGAGGTTCTTTGTGACCGCACGGTGCAGGGGCAGCCCCTGGCCCCTGGCTCTGGCCTGAGGATCATCGCAGCCTGCAATCCGTACCGCAAGCACACGGACAGGATGATCCAACGCCTGGAGCTGGCTGGGCTGGGCTACCGGGTGAAGGCCGACGCCACCCGGGAGAAGCTGGGCTCCATCCCGCTGCGGCAGCTCGTGTACCGCGTGCACGCGCTCCCGCCCAGCATGATCCCGCTGGTCTGGGACTTCGGGCAGCTCAACAACTGCACCGAGAAGATGTACATCCAGCAGATCGTGCAGCGCGTGGCCGAGCAGCTGCTGCTCACGACCAAGGACGACGTGAGGACGGTCACAGAGGTGCTCTTTGCCTCCCAGCAGTACATGAGGCAGAGGGATGACGAGTGCAGCTTCGTCAGCCTGCGGGACGTGGAGCGCTGCATGGAGGTGTTCAAGTGGTTTTACAGGCACAGCCCCATGCTGCTGAGGGAGCTGGAGAAGTACCTGGCTGAGAGGAAAGTCCCCAAGGGCAGCGGTGACAGAAATGATGTCATCTGGTCCTTGGTGCTGGCGGTTGGGGTCTGCTACCACGCGTCCCTGGAAGAGAAGGAACCATACAGGACTGCCATCAGCCGGGTCCTCCCAAAGCCTTATGATACCCAGAAAAAGATTTTGGAAGAAATCACCCTGATGCAGGACTTATTCCTGAGTGGGGTACCGCTCCGGGATACCATAGCAAGGAACTTGGCCTTGAAGGAAAATGTCTTCATGATGGTCATCTGTATTGAGCTGAAAATCCCCCTTTTTCTGGTGGGGAAGCCTGGGAGCTCCAAATCCCTGGCAAAAACCATCGTGGCCGATGCTATGCAGGGCCAAGCAGCTCATTCTGATCTGTTCAAGGACCTGAAGCAGATCCATCTCGTGTCTTTTCAGTGCAGCCCCCTCTCCACTCCAGAGGGCATCATAGGCACTTTCAAGCACTGTGCTCGATTCCAGGAAGGGAAGAACTTGGAGGAGTATGTATCAGTGGTGGTTCTGGATGAGATTGGGCTGGCAGAAGACTCTCCCAAAATGCCCCTGAAGACTTTGCATCCACTTTTGGAGGATGGCTGCATAGATGATGTCCCTCTTCCTCACAAAAAGGTTGGCTTCATTGGGATTTCCAACTGGGCTTTGGACCCTGCTAAGATGAATCGAGGCATCTTTGTGTCTCGTGGTGACCCCAGCAGAGAGGAGCTCATCGAGAGCGCAAAGGGCATTTGCTGCTCGGCACGGGGGGCTCTGCAGAAGGTCGAGCAGTATTTCCATCACTTTGCAGATGCATATGAGAACATTTGCAAGGCCCAAGACAGGGAGTTCTTTGGCCTGCGTGACTACTACAGCCTCATAAAGATGTTTTTTGCCCTAGCCAAGAGCTCCAAAAGCGAGCCCACACCTCAGGACATCGCCGCAGTGGTTCTTCGTAACTTCGGTGGCAAAGATGACGTCAATGCCTTGGAAATATTCACTTCCAAGTTGCTAGAGAAAGGGGAGATACGTGCTCACGATATCAGTAGGATAGAGCTGATCCGACAGAACATTTACAGCAGCGCTGAGGATGGGGACTGCAGGTACCTGCTGGTGTTGACTGAGAACTACGCTGCGCTGCAGATCCTCCAGCAGGCTTTTTTCACCGCCCGCCAGCAGCCAGAAATCATCTTTGGCTCCAGTTTTCCTAAGGACCAAGAATACACCCAGATATGCAGGAACATCAACCGAGTGAAGGTGTGCATGGAAACCGGCAAGATGGTTGTGCTCCTCAACCTGCAGAACCTCTACGAGAGCCTCTACGACGCCCTCAACCAGTACTACGTGTACCTGGCCGGGCAGAAGTACGTGGACCTGGGGCTGGGCACGCACCGGGTGAAGTGCCGGGTGCACCCCGACTTCCGCCTGATCGTCATCGAGGAGAAGGAGGTGGTGTACAAGCACTTCCCCATCCCGCTGATCAACCGGCTGGAGAAGCACTACCTGGACATCGGCACCGTGCTGGACGGGGCGCAGCGCGAGGCCGTGCGGGAGCTGGAGCGCTGGGTGCAGGAGTTCGCGGCCGTGAACACGGAGGAGCACTTCATCGGCCAGCAGCAGTACAGCCCCGCGGACGTGTTCGTGGGCTACCACGCCGACACCTGCGCCTCACTGGTGCTGCAGGGCACGCAGCGCCTGCGCCCGGCCTGCGCGCCCGCCGAGCTGCTGCCCCGCGTCGCCGAGCGGGCGCGGCTGGCGCTGCTCAACTGCGCCACCCCCGACGCCGTCATCCGCCTCTGCAACTCCGTGGGGGTGTTCATGGCGCCCGCCCTGGCACACACCTACTTCAGGGAGCAGCACCACACCTCCTTCGCCGACTTCCTGGGTGCCCACGTGCGGGCAGGGGCTGGGCCACAGACTGCCTTCACCGAGGTGAGCCCTGCCGGGGCGCTGCCAGCCTTGCCGGGGCGCTGCCAGCCCTGCTGGGGCACTGCAAACCTTCCCGGGGCATTGCCAGCCCTGCCGGGGCGCTGCCAGCCTTCCCAGGGCGCTGCCAGCCCTGCTGGGGCACTGCCAACCTTCCCAGGGCGCTGCCAGCCCTCCTGACCCCTCTCAGCTCCGTGTGCCAGGGCTGCAGCATGGCACCACCTGTGTGTGCCGCTGTGATGGGTGTTCAGAGCTGGGTGCTGGCAAATAAATGCTGATTTTGGGGTGCAGTGCAGCTCTGCAGCAGGCTGGGGAGCAGTGCAGTGCAGCTCTGCAGCAGCCCTGCAAGCACAGGCGCTGCATCGCTGCCCCTCTCTCCCCAGGTCACCACCTTCTCCCGGCTGCTCACCAGTGCCGACGTGGCCTGCCTGGAGAGGGAGGTGCAGGGCAAGGCCCAGAGGCCCCAGCTGCTGTTCCTGCAGCAGTTTGACACCGAGTTCTCCTTCCTGAAGGGCATCCGGTGAGTGTGGGCCGGGGTTTCCCTGCAATGGGCTGGCAGCTGTGTGCAGGGTGTGTGGGCAGAGCACTCAGAGCAGCACAGATGGAAAAGGGAGGCTGGGCTGGCACGGGGCTGGCTCTGCCCAGATATCTGCTGATAAGGGACAAACCTTGTCAGCTCCATCACATGTGATGGGGTTTGCTGGTTTCCTCTCTCCTCCTGCAGCAGCCAAAGCTAATGTGGAGTGACTGGCTCTGTGGTCTTTAATGTTTGATCTTTATACTCAGTGACTTCTGTTAAATCTCTTTTCACTCTTCAGGGATTTCCTGGATTCCACTACAGGAAATAAAGTCCTCATTATTCAGACAGACTTTGAAGATGGCTCTCAGAATGCCCAGCTCATTGCCTCAGCCAAGTGAGTGGGTGTGGAGTGCTTCAGTTCTGCCTGGCCACTCCTCCCTGTGTTTGGTTATTGGTGCTCTTTGGGGATCTCACACTCAGCAATGTGCAATCCTTTATTCTGTAGCAGAATGAATCCAATTGCACTGATTGTATTTCAAATAATGCATACCCCGAGTCAGAGTAAGCCAAGCTGGGTGAAACGAGCAGATAATCCCCTTCAAGTGTGAATTCTGGGCACTGGCTGCAGGATTCCTGAAGGGCCACGGGATCATTCAGGGCACAGCTGGAGGTGCCAGCTCAGCACCACAGCTGGGAGGGAGGAGTGGGGGCCACCTGTGCCTGTTCTGGGACAGGACCCGTGTCCGTGGGCCCCTGTGTGCCCCTGCTGTGCCACCGGCATTTCCCCTCTGCTGCAGGTACACCGTGGTCAATGAGATCAACAAGGTGGACCTGGGGGAGGCCTCTGTCTTTGTTTACTTCATCATGAAGCTCTCCCGGCTGAAAGGAGGCACCTCCTACGTGGGATTCCATGGAGGTGGGCGTGCCCATCTGTCCCTTCAGGCAATCTGTTCCTTTCAGTGCTGACAAGCTGGGCTCAGTGTGTGCTGTGGGTTGTCAGAGCCGCTTCCCTGTGCCACAGGGCTGCCCAGGGGAGCAGTACCTGGCAGGGAGCACCTTGCCCTGCCTGCTGACAGACTGGTCCCCTCTGCAGTCATGGAGAGCAGCACAGAGCCACGAGGGTGACTCTGTGGGTGTGCTGTCCTCCAGAGGCTCTGGAGCAGGTGCTGGTGTGTTCAGCAAGGCTCCTCTGGGTCTGGGGGCTTCTGAGAGCCTCAGAACCTTGGAACTGTCAGGCAGGGATGTGTGCAGCAGCAGGGCCTGAGGGCATTGTGCTCTCCCCTCCTGCAGCAAGAGGTGAGAGTTGGTGACCTGTGAAATAACCCCAGGGCTGGCAGGTGATTCTGGGGGAGCTGCTCTGGAGAACAAGGCTGGCAGTGATTCCTTGTTGCCCTGTGCCTGCAGGGCTGTGGCACTCGGTGCACATCGACGACCTGCGCAGGTCCAAGGACATGATCTCTGACCTGACAGCCCTGCAGAACCTCACCATCAGCCAGGTGTTCTCCCAGGAGCCAGCTGCAGCCAGAGGTGAGCTGTGTGCTGGGGAGAGGGGGAGCTGTGGCCCCACACTTGGTGCTGCAGGAGCTGATGCCTGCCACAGCCTGTCTGATGACTTTCCTGGTTTTGGGGGGCTCCCCACTTGTATTTAATTCATTTAATTCTACAACTTTAGGTCATCAAGCAAGCTAATTTGGTGGTTTTCCCTTTTCTTTTTGACAAAACTGTGGCATTTGCACTGCTCAGCAGCCTGAGTGCTGCATGGCACAGACTGACGAGGATCTTTCTTTCCCCTCAGCTTTTTCTTACTTTTTCTTACTCTTTTCCTTTCACCACACTGCCTGACAGGAGTCAGGGAGAGCTTAAGGCATTAGCTCAGTGTCACATTTCTTCCAGCTCTTGCTGCACGAGGCCTGACAGCCCGAGCAGCTGTGGCTGTGTTTGAGAGGTGACTCTCAGCTACTCATGCAGGTGCTAATGGCTCTCTGACAGATGTTCTGCTGCTCTGGGATGCAGTTGCTAAAATAAACTCTGACCTGACTGATGCAGGAGTGCGCTGCTGCTTTCTAATGAACATTCTCCTCCTTAGCTGCAGCTCTGCCTGCCAGTGGAGAAGCTCAGCAGGAGGAGGTGGAGGCTGGAACACCAGTGCCGGGAGCAGAGCACCAGGAGGTCAGTTCAGAATACATTTGTTTGCCTCTCAGCTGTCACTGTGGCTCTCTGCTCTGTCATCCATGGGTGCAGCCCACCTTTTGTGTCCCCTTCACCTGAAAGCAATCAGCAATATTTGCATCATGAATGTTACTGATCGGACACAAGTTCCTCCTCCCCACTGCCCAGTCAAAATCAGCATCACTGAAGAAATCAACCATTCTAAGGACTCTAATTCCTTTGTCATTTAATTCTTCTGATTTTTAAACATCAGCTCTGAGTTTGTTTCCTTCCTTCCCTGGATGTGGGAGCTGTGCTCCTGAGCCTCTGTGTGCTCTGAGCTGGAGCTGGGCTGGCTGAGGGCTTGGCTGTGCTGCAGCCACATTCACACTGCCCTGTGTGCCCCTGGCAGCTGCAGCTGGGCATGGCCAGCACCAGGGACATGGAGCATTTCCCAGGAAGGGCACGTGTTCCCTGGCCACATCGATTGTTTCCATTTCTTTCCTCAAACTGCTGAATCTTGCCCTGCAGGAGTCTCAGCTCAGCACAAATGCTGTGTCACAGTTTGAGAGGGGCACAGGGGCTGCATCACGTTCCTGACAGCAGAGGGCTGAGAATGGCAGCTGGGAACAGGGGTGGAAAGGCAGCAGGCCCTGAGGGAGCCCTGGGAGCCTTTCAGGGGAGGGTGCTGGGGCCAGGGGGCTCACTCTGGGGAAATGCCCCTGTTCCCTGGGCAGGGGGAGATCCTGGACACCACGGTGCTGCTGAGGACCTGTGTGCAGAGCGCTGTGGGCATGCTGAGGGACCAGAACGAGGACCTGAGCCGCAGCAGGAGGAGGATTGAGATTCTGCTTGGCCTCTTCTCCACAGAGGATGAGCTGAAAGGTGTGTGCTGCAGGGAGGTCAAAACCAACCCAAACAGCTCACTGGGGATGCAGAGCTCCTTGCTGTGGTGCAGGCAAGGGGGCTCTCCCCAGGATGTGTCCGTGCTGCAGTGTGTGGGTGGGTGCAGGGCTTTTCTGCTGTTATAGTGGTGGCTTTTTCTCCCACTGTGCTGCCTGGTTTTTCCCCACTTGTCCAATTATTGGAACAGTTGTAAAATGCTGTGCTTGGTGGGATATTTGGGTCCAAGCTAATGGAAAAGAAAACACAAGTTCCCTGTTGTTTTGTAGCCTCTTTCCTGAAGATAACCAAGGCTCGTCTCTCCAGCCTGTTGAAGAAGCAAGAAGAAAATTCCCTTCACCCAAAGAACTGGGTGCTTCGGGAGGCCTCCAACCTCAGTGCTCTGCAGGAGGCAGGTACCTTCAGGTGAGCCCTGCCTTGTCACCTGCAGCCTCCAGGAAGGGTCTGCAGGTGGCACCTGTGCAGCAGGGACAGCAGCTTGGTGTAATTGGTGTGAACATTTGCAGTGTCAGTCCCCAGGCTGTGCTGGAAACTCTCTGAAGGCAATTTTAGCCTCTGCTGGGGAAGGGGGATTAGAGCTGAAGGGGCTGTACTGGGACAGGGATGCACAAGTGCTTGAGTGGCATTACAGCTGAGCCAGGAGTTGGAAGTGCAGGGCTTTCTGTTGGTTGTGTTCTTTCCCATAAAGGCAGCATTAGGATTCTGTCACGTGCTAAGGTCAGCAGTCATTCAGGACAGGCACCCCCTGTTTTGCTGATGGTGCTGCTCACGTTCCCTCTGGGTTTCTCCATCTCTCTCCCCCAAGGCACACCCTGTGGAAGCGAGTGCAGAAGGTGGTCACTCCCTTCCTGGCTCTCCTGGTCGCTGTCATGGACAGGAATGGCAATCTGGAGCTGCTGGCCAGGCCAGGAGCCACGTGGGTGACAAAGCTGTGGATGTTCATCTTCAGTGACTCCAAATTCCTGAGTGTCTCTCCTGGGGTGGGGAAGAACAGGTGAGCCTGGGGAGCAGCACGAGGGATGGGATGGGATGGGATGGGATGGGATGGGATGGGATGGGATGGGATGGGATGGGATGGGATGGGCTGGCAGCACCAGGAGCAGCCCAGCACTGGCTCTAACCCCCCAAAGCAGAGGGATGTTGGTTGTTGGCTGCCCCAGAGGGCAGCAGGGCACTGCTCACAGTTCAGCCTCCTCTCCTCAGAGTCCTGCAGTTCCCTCCCCTTCTCTCTCCCCTCCCTCTAGGGCTCAGTTGCTTTCTGCAGTCTCTGCCTTCCCAAAGAAAAGCCCTGTGCATTAATGATCTTTTAACCCCCCAGCCCTCAGCCAGAGATAATCCTGGTGCAGAACAACATGATGGTATCTGCTGATGCTGGGAATGAGATGCCCTTCAGCTGGAGGATAAAGGAGTACCTGGAAGAGATGTGGTTGGAGGCTCAGTACATCCAAAACACTGAAGGTGAGAGCCTGGCTTCAGCATCTCCATCCACTGCCCTTTGAGCTCTGGGTTGTCATTGCTGTGTCCCTCCTGTCTCTGGAGTCACCTTCAGTCCCTCTGTGCTCCTGGGAGCCAGCAGAGTTCTGTGCAGGCAGCTCTTCTTGTGCTTCTCACCATTCATCTTTCTCACCTGTGCTGTGCCCTTGCATTCAAAGTGCTGTGGAGCAGCCAGGAGTTAATGACAAGGTGAGACTGCAGAAATACAACACGGTGCTGGGCTGACAAGGCCTGGCCTGAGTCCCTCTCAGTGTCCTGGATGAGGGGAGTGCTGGAGGCATCAGTGATTAATGAGGTGTCAGTGTCTCTAGGATAGATGCTGTGTCAAAGCCAGCTTCCTCCTAACATCCAGCTTTTCTCTGCATCCTCATTTTCCAGGCCATGCTGAGAAGTTTGTGGAATACTTCCAGAAAACTGCCCTGGGAAAATTCATCTCTTCTCTGACTGAGGGAGAAAGGCAGATGCTCTTTGAGTGCTACATCACAGATTTTATTGTCTTGACCATCGGTGTGTCCTCCCAGGAGGAGCTGCAGGTCAGGGGCTGGGAATGCTTTGGATGGGGAGGAGAGTGTGATACCTGTGATTGTGTCCTCCTGCATCAGCCCTGCCCTGGGGAGAATCCCCTCTGAGACAGCAGCAGGGGAACCCCAGAGCAGACACTGGACACTGGGGTCACTCAGGAAGGCAGAACCTGTATAAATTGTCACATTTAAGGCTGTCTTTGTAGGGAAGTGGTTCTCATCTTTCAGAGAATTTTGCCAGGCTTTCCAGTACAAAATTATAAAATTATAATTAGATATAAATGTATTAGATGTAAATATATATATATAAATAAATAAATTAGATATAAATATATTAGATATATATAAATAAATAAATTAGATATAAATATATTAGAGATATAAATAAATAAATTAGATATAAATATATTAGATATATATAAATAAATAAATTAGATATAAATATATTAGAGATATATGTAAATAAATTAGATATATATAAATAAATAAATTAGATATAAATATATTAGAGATGTATATATAAATAAATTAGATATAAATATATTAGAGATATATATAAATAAATTAGATATAAATATATTAGAGATATATATATAAATAAATAAATTATATATAAATATATTAGAATTATGAGAGCACTTTCTCACCTCTGGCTCTGTGTCCCACCCCGCAGTGTCTGCGCGTGGCGTTCCTGTCCTGCGTGGAGCAGTGGGTGGCAGAGTCCCCCTGGAGGAGGGAGCTGGTGCCCTCGCTGCCCTGGGCCCACCTGGCACACAGCCGCTTCAAGAGCCGCCTGCAGAACTTCTCCAGGATCCTGGCCGTGTACCCCCGGGTGACTGGGCACCTCCTGGGCCAGCAGGGCTGCAGGATTCCCTGCTCTGAGATGGTACAGTCGCTGCCTCAGCCTGCACTGCCCCTCAGTCCTTTGGGTTTCGGCCACAGCAGAGGGGGAAGCACAGGCTGGGGCTCCTCAGAATGGGGAATGATCTGCTGTGTTCTTATTGCTACAAGCGGGTTTTAAAATAGTTTGCCTCGCTTTTGCATCAGTTAATAGGACATGCTAACGAGCCGAGCCACAAACGTGAGAATTGCAGAGCTTAAAGTAATCAAGTAGCAAGCCAGACTGAGAGCCCGGGGTCCATAAGCAATTCTGAAACGCTGCTGTTGTCACCCCTGGCCCTGTGTGTGCAGGTTCTGGACGTGCTGGCTGCCATGGGCTGTGCTGAGGAGCTGGAGAAGCTGGTGCAGACAGCTCCCCCTGAGCTCTGGCTGCAGAGGGTGAAGAACCTCCACATGCCCATTGAGTTCCTGTGCAAGGAGGAGAGTGCCCAGCGCAGGGGCAGCCGCTGCCACCAGCTGCTCAGGGAGCTCAGGTGGGTGCCCAGCTCTGCCCACAGCCCTGCTCTTTGCCTGAAGGTGCTCTGGGCCATTGCAGCAGCCTGGAGCTGTTCTGGTGCTGCTTTTCTCAGGCTTTGCAAACCTTTCCAGGTTCCTGCTGGGCTCAATTGCATACCAAGCAGCAAGAACCACATTTTTTTCCCCTCATCTCCTGCAGATTCTCTCTCTAAATTTGGCAGTATCATCTGGTGCATTCCATCTGGGTTCAGGGGTTATTTAAAACTCTCCTCAGGTTCCTGTTAACCAGCAGTGTCTCCCCACTTCATCCTCTGTGCATAAGGACTCAAGAGATGGGGAATTTCACTGCCTCTTGTGCTTTGGAAGGGAGCCCAGAGCACTACCCAAGTTTCTCACAGACCTTGTTTAGTTTATTAAAAGTGAAGAAAGTGCAGCTAATTGTGATTGGTATTTTAAAAAGTTTTGAGATAGAGGTGTGAGAAGGTGTGTGCAGTGCTGCTGTCCTGCTGCAGTGCTGCCTCCAGGCCAGGCCCTTCAGCCCCCTGAGTGAAGTGCTGGAATGTTCTGTCCTTGACGAAAACCCCTCAGGGAAGCCAAAGTGCAGCGCCAGTGAGAAGCGCAGGGTGCTGTGGAGGGCAGCAGGAGCAGCAGTGAGCCCCGGCTGCCCTGGTGCCAGCCTGCTGTGCCCCCAGGGCCTGCTGGAGCCGCGTGTTTGCCATGGCACTCTTTGTGGAGCACGTCCTGCTGGGCATCCGCGCCCTCATGCCCGAATTCGAGGGCTTGGTGAGGAAATACACCCTGCTGCTTGCCAAGGTGAGCCAAGCTGCCATTTCACCTCTTCCCTCTTCTGCTGATGGTGGCAATTCTGCTCCCAGGTGTTGCAGCTCAGTCACTGGGCCCTGTCCTTTCCCTCTGCAGTGTTTCCAGCACGATTCAGACATGAAGTCCCATCCAACCTTTGTTGCAGTGCTGACAGTGCTGTGCCAGTGCAAGAACGAGGTCAGCAGCAGGCTCTACAGGTACTGGCACTGGGGCAGGCTGCAGGGGCCAGCAGGGACGTTGCCAGCACACTTGTGGCAGTGCTGCATGGGTGCAGTGGAAGCCAAGGGAAGAGCAGTGACCCTGCTTGGTTCTGCACCCTGCTCTTGGTCTAATGCAGCTGAACATGTTCAGGGCTTTTGGGAGCAGCTGAGCTCATTGCTGTTTCTGCATTGCAGGCATGGTCTGGAGCCCTGTCCCATCTGCCTGGGAGAGCCCAAGGACCCCGTGTGCCTGCCCTGCAACCACGTGTTCTGCCACAAGTGCATCAGCCAGTGGCTGGTGCCAGCACAGATGTACTGTCCCTACTGCAGGGCTGCTCTGCAGGAGGTGCAGTTGACTGTCTCTGAGGAGCTCAGGTACTGCAGCCCCCCTCTCCAAGGTGGCAGCATTCAGTGGGGAGGCTTTGTGAGGAAATGCTCAACTCTGAGGTGGTGAACATGAACAGAGTGGGGGGTGAACTCTGCTTCATCCCTCTGGAGCTGAACAGGCCCTGTCTGTTCTGTTGCTTATAAAAAGGGGAAAGCTGCCTTGGCCTCTGTAAAAGCAAGCAATCATAGAATGGTTTGGGCTGGTAGGGACCTCAAGGATCATCTCGTTGGGAAGGTTGGAAAGTATCTCCCCTGGGTGACTTTAGCCTGTGTGTGCTCAATCCCTCTGTGCTTTAAGGGGTTCTGTGTTTGCTTTTGCCCCTCCCAGAGCTGCCATAGCAAAGAAGGCCCTGTTCCGCCAGAGGTGCAACAATTTCTTCATTGACATGGTCACCACCATGTGCTTCAAGGACAACGAGCCCCCTGAGCCAGAGGTGATCCAGAGGCTCCTGGACCTGCTCTTTGTTCACAGAAGCCTCGTGAAGGACCCAGGTGAGCTCCCTTCACCTCACACTGTCCTATGGAGCTGGAGCTGTCCCCACCTTCCCTCACCTGCCAGAGCTGTCCTCCCCTTGTCTCCACAGATCACCCAGCTGTCTACACCAAATTCCTGTCCCCGTTTAATGATGAGGTGGATGAGACTCCCATCATCCGCTCAGTGATGCTGAAGCTGCTCCTGAAGTACAGGTGGGCACAATCATCTGAGGGAGGTTAGGCCAGGCCAGGTTCAGCTCTGTTCCTCATCAAACCCGTCCCATTGTTCTCCTCGCCTCCCTGAGTTCCATTGAATCTCACACTCACCACAAAATCTCACAATCTTTGCATCAGTCGTGCAGCTTGGCTGGCTGGTGGTGCAGTGTGAGCAGCCTGTGCAAGGTTTACCTGGCTGTCCCTCACTAACCCTCTGCTGAGGGTGGATGCCTGGTTCTGCAAGGTGGCTGAGTAGCTGCTCTGATCTGGGTCAGCAGAGCAAAACTCCTCATTCACTGAGATTTAATCAGGATTGAAGCTGATCTTGTGTCTGCCCCACAGACCCCCCATTCCCACAGCCCTCCCAGCCTCCCTTTGCAGGCAGGGCTCAAAGCCCCTTCTCAGGTGTGCCCACCCCTGAACCAGGTGCCTTTTGTCCCGAAGGGCTCAGTGAGCTCTGCTGATGGCCAAAACCCAGGTCACTGCAGAAAATGGCACAAGGGCTTCTCCACCCTGCAGCTGGCTCCAGAGTGACCCCAGCTGTCACCCAGCCTCTCTGGGAGCTGCGCTCAGAGCAGGGGCAGCCCTGCCAGCATGGCAGCTGTGTCAGGGTCTCTCTCTCTCTCCTGTAGCTTCAATGAAGTCAAAGATGATGTGCAGCGCTACCTGTCCCAGGTGGAGCACAACGAGCTCCTAGAGAAAAATGACAAAAAAGAGCTCTACCTGCTTTTTGTCAACTGCTTGGAGGTAAGAGCTGGGCCAGGAAACTGCTGCAGTTTCATGAGTAAAAAAAGCCAAGAACAGAAATTCTTCTGCAGTTCTAGCCATGTTTCTTGTGTGTGTAACTATTTTTCCCACTAGAAAGCCCAGCAGGAGTTGATACCAAATCACCTGATCAGAACTTGCTCTCAGGAACGAGCTTTGCTTTTCAAGGAAAGGCTTAAGTGGCTTTGCAGTGGTACATAAATTCTTTCCCTTGGGCAAGAGTCTGGGTGTTAAACCTCACCCTCCAGCACAGGAGTGCAGCAAGCAGGGCCTTTCTCATGGCAGCAGCCCAGTGCTGAGCCGCTTCTTGTCTCCACAGACCCTTAAATCACTGTGCAGAACTTAAATCATTGTGCCTTTTGGATTGTTCCCTTGCCTCCCCTTGCATAACCTTCAGGGCTTTGGACAACTTGGAACAAATGTGGCAGCAGGGGAGAGGTTTTATTACTTACAGGATTTTGTAGTTAAATTCACCGTTTGTGTTCTTGCTAAGGGACAGACAGGTAGAGCTTGGCATCTTGGAACATGGAATGTGTGTTATTCACAGCCTGCTCATGGCTCTTGCTCAGCTCCAAGCTTGGGGAGTTTGGGACAGCTGGGGCACATCCTAAAAATGGGGTTTGGCAGGGGTTTAGGATGAGGGGGCAATGGCAGTGGGGTGGAGGGTGCAGGGATGGTTTGGAGGCTCAGGGGTGGTTTGGAGGCTCAGGGGTGGTTTGGAGGCTCAGGGATGGTTTGGAGGCTCAGGGATGGTTTGGAGGCTCAGGGATGGTTTGGAGGGTGCAGGGATGGTTTGGAGGCTCAGGGATGGTTTGGAGGCTCAGGGATGGTTTGCTGTGCTCGTGGCAGGCTGGGCTGGAGGCTCAGGGGTGGTTTGGAGGGTGCAGGGATGCTTTTCTGTGCTCATGGCACCCAGGGTGCGTAGGTGGGTGCCATGGGGACACAAGGGTGGCTGGGTGAGGCGGCTCTGCCACTCACCAGTGTTGTGGCCTCTCTCCAGGATTCCATGTGTGAGAAGTCGGAGAACAGCCTGGGATGTGGGCACGGGAGCAGTGTGCCTGAGGACAGAGCCTTTCCAGAGCACTACCTGCCCTGCAGCAGCAGAGGGGCTCCCCAGGAAGCCTCTGTGCAGTACCTGCAGGCCGTGGCCGAGGTGCGCCTGTGCCTGGCCAGGGCTGCAGAGCTCATCTTCCACCTGCAGCAGCACACACGTGAGTCTGACTGCTCTGCTGGGAGTGCTGGACACAGCCGTGCCCTGTGCCCTGCTAGGACCTGTTCTGGTGCATGGCCAAGAAGGAGAGCAGCAATTCCCTTATTCCTTGGGGGTGCCAGTCATGTCTGAGCCCTGTGCCAGGTGTTGCAAGTGCTCTGTAACTGGTAGCAAGGCTGTGCTGGTGACCCCAGTGTAGTTACTGTGGAAGGAGATTTATTTTATCCTCCTGGTGCTAACAGTGAGATTTATTTAGAGCCCACTAAATTGAACTTTAAAGCATAAATGCTGCTTGAGACCCAGGACTGCTGTAAGGGTTATTGTTTTATATGAATGAGAGCTCTGCACAGCTAGGAGGGATTAAGAGTTTATATTGATGAGTTTATACCTTCCCTGTCAAAGAAATGAATCATTGTCTGAAATGTGGCTGAGGAAGTGCCCCAGACAGCACCCGAGGAAGGGAGAGCTCTGAAGTTCTTCTGTGTAATAACACAGTACTAATAAAGGCATTGGTGCTACAGCTGGGGCAGACAGAAGAGTTTTACGGGATGAGATGTGCTTTTGCCTCATTGTTTTAATCTCTTTTTTCCCCTCCAGAGCCAGAGCAGATGAGGGATGAGCAGAGTTTCCTGAAGAGTGTGGAGAAGTTCTGCAGCCGTGCCAGGAACGACTGGCACCGTGTGTACCTGGTCAGGAGGATTGCCAGCCAGCATGGCATGGAGTTTGCCCAGAAGCTGGTCACAGAGCCACGCTTCAGCTGGGTGTTCCCAGCAGAAATCCTGCAGCAGGTAGACAAGAGGCATCTCCTGGTGGTGGTTTTGGTCCCCTCTTTGCCTTCACTTTGTGCTGCTTTGGGTGTTCCTGCTGTTGTGTGGCTCTTGGGGTCGGGCCAGAGTGGCAGTGGCTGGGAGGTGACTTGTCCTGGCTCTTGGGTTAATGGAGACTCCCCTGGCAGCACCATGGCTGCTGCTGCTGCTGCTCTGGGGAGCCTGAAATGCCCCAGGGTTATAACAAACCGAAATAAATGAAATAACACGACTGTTCTCGAGGTGGAAAAGGGAAGTTTATTTTCTGACTCCAACACTTACAGATTTCCAAAAGTGACAGTGGATTGGAGGGTGACAGTGCCACCTCTCCAATGACGCTGAACAAACCAACAGTCATCAAATTTTTTCTCCTCCACAAAAGAATGCAAAACAATGAGTTATTTACAGAAAGCACGTGAGAAAGTTTGTTACAAGAATGTAAACATCAGAAGGCTTAGAAAATCTTGAAAATTCAGGGTGATGCCAGGGCTCGGGAGGAAGGGGAGATTGTGCCTCCTCCGGTGGGTGGCTGTCCCCAGAGCTGTGCGTGGCTGTTCCCTCGGCAGGTGCAGCACAGCCAGTCCAACCACATCGACCGGTACCTGGTGTGCGGGGAGCGCTACCGCGCCCTGCGCGACGCCGTGGGACGAGCCATGATGGAGGGCACGGCCCAGGGGCTGCTCCAGGCCCAGCAGGTACAGCCCAGTGCCCCCAGAGCCCTGCTGGGCCCTGGCCTGCCCCCAGAGCCCTGCTGGGCCCAGCTCTGCACTGTCCCTGTGGGCACTGTCTGTTCCCGGCCCCCGGGGTCACTGGGGTTTGTGCTCAAGCAGGTTTTCTTTACTTCCCCACCTGCACATCCCATCACTGTAGCTGGGGCAGCTCTGGCCTGTTCCCGGCCACATCCTTGCTTCTTCCCCAGGCCTCCGGCAGCCCCCCAGCTCTGGAAGCTGCCCACCTGCTCCTGGCCATCTTCCGAGAGGTCACTGTCCTGTACGGGGATGCAAGCCTCCGTCCCAAGCAGCAGGTAGGACATCCCCAGGCTGCAGGTAGGGCACCCCTTTAGCAGCTTGTGGCAAACCTGTTCGTGGGTAAGGAGGAACTGGATCTCAATCAGTGGTGGAGGAGCTTTTGCTCCTGTGCCCCAGCCAGGGTGATGCCCAAGCTGAGCAGGCTGGGGAGGTTTTGGGAGCAGGGTAACCCAGGGTGGGAAGCAGCTGCCAGTGTTCTTTGTTAGGATGGGGGCAGCGTCCTGATGGCTCTAGCTCTTTCCCATCTGTGCTTTCAGCAAGCAGAGGCCATGGTTGAGTTCGTCCAGAGCTGCCCAGCGCTGAGTTCCCCCGAGCTGCAGCACCTTGCAGTTGCCCTGGTGAAGAACACCCTGCCCGGGCTGGCCGTGGGGCCGCGGGGACACAGCCAGCAGGGAGCCCTGCTGGAGATGGCCGTGCACGTGGCTGCTGTGCTGCTCTGTGGGCACAGCCCTGTCCTGCAGCCCCTCAGGAACCTGGCCTTCCATCCTCACAGCATGCAGGTGAGGGCACGAGCTCATCCCTGGTTCTTGCCTGTGTCTGCTGGATCCTCTTTCCCAACAGCAATGCTCCAGCTCAGTTTGAGCTGTGAAACACTGGGGGGATTATTGCAGTGCTGCTGGGGTTAATTAGCACAGCACCAAGCTCTGGCATCTTTTCAAGGCACCTCTCCATCCTGAGCAGGATGAAGCAGATAGCTTTGCTGGTATTTGTGTGAGCGAGGCTGAGGGCAGCTGGCGGCTCCCCCTGTGCTGCAGCTGCCTGCTCAGAGAGCTCTGGCTCCTCAGGCAGGGGCAGGGACAGGGAGCTGCTGCTCTGCTGCTCCTGGCTGCCCAAGGGGTGAGGGAACACGCTGGTACACACCAGGGTGCATGAGCAGTGCACTGCAGGGTGGCTGGGGAGTGCAAATCTTAACGATGCTGACAGTTAAAGAGGGGATTTTAACGATGCTGACAGTTCTAATAGAGGATTTTAACAATACTGACAGTTCTAAGAGGGGATTTTCAAAGGTGAATCTGAAAATCTGCATCTGCATCACCTGCCTGGCCTCTGCTCTCAGGTGTCTCCTGTTCCCCAGTGTGAGCAGACCCAGTGAGTGGCTGCTGCAGGACAGAGCTGATTCCCAGATCCTCCTGTGACTGCTTTCCCCTTTCCCTCCCCAGCTCTCCTTTCTGCCCACCATGCCCGAGGACATGATGGCTCAGGCAAGGACCTGGAAGGACATGCTTGGTCTGCACTGGTATGGTGAGTGCTGCTGGCTGCCTGGGGAAGGAATTCCTTGGGTTTGGGGAGGGAAACTGTTCCAAATGTGAGGACAAACACACTCCTCAGCATCAGTTCCCCGTGGTAAATCCAGATTTGTAGACAGTTTGTGTGGGTGATGCACCAAAGGACATCCAGTGCTGTTTAGTCTTCAGCCTGCAGCTGTTCACAGAGCATGAGGGGGCACAAAGGCAACACAGACAGGGTGTGAGAGGAGAGCTCTGCCACCTTCCTGGCCAGCTTTGTCTCTGCTTCCCCCAGCTGGACCTGCCTGCAGCAGGGAAGGCAGGGTGAGAGCATTGAGACAGGTGAGACAGGTGAGACACAGGTGAGACACAGTCTGTCAGGCTTTCATTCCTTGTTTCTCAAGGAGAAGCAGCACTGAAAAATTCCTTGGCTTCCTGCGTGGGCCTGTCAGTCCTTTGGGCTTTGGGGTAGTCGGGGCTTTTGATTAGATCTTCAGCATGTTTCTTGCTCCAGGATGATGGTGCCAGTGAAAGGGAATAACAGGGGCTGTATAAATCTGTCTTAGAATACTGTCCTGTTTGTTTCTCTCCCCACAGAATGTCCCAATGGCCACTTGTCCACTGTGGGAGAGGTAAGAATTTGGGACTCGTGGGTATTTAAGCAGACAAAGCTTTCAACAATAAACTGTTTTATTTTCTTTACTGGTTTGGATGTTCTGATGCAGAGTTCCACTTCTAAACTCGATATTATTGATCATTTTGTCATTGTAATGTAAAATTTGGAATAGCCCTAGCATTCATACCACAGATTGGGAAACATCAGGCAGAGGCCCAGTTTGTAGCAGGAATTGAATTAACCCCTTAGAGGTTGGATTTTTGTTCATTCCCTCTGTCTGCTGGAGACGCTGTTGCTCTGGAACTCAGTGTTCTCCTGTTGCTTTTCCCAGTGTGGGCTCCCCATGGAAACGAGCCGCTGTCCCGACTGCCAGGTCCCCATTGGAGGCACCAACCACAAACCCGTGCAGGGCTTCCATCAGTCCAGGTGGGTTCTTTGCAGGGATAAATGAGGTGGGACTTGCCTGTGGTGCCCCCAAAGGCCAGAGGAACCAAGCATTCATGCTGCCCTCTGGAAGGTGTAAGCAGGGGATGTGCAAGCAAGGGTAATCAGGCAGCAAAACCAAAGAAATCTGCTTTTCTGTGCACAAAACTGACTGGAAGCCTTCACTCCCCTGTGGCACTCTGAATTGGCAGCTTTTATGGCATTCCAAGACACTATGGGTCAAAAAGGCATTGCTGGGTATCACAGATGTCTTGTATGGTTTTTGTCTAGGTTAAAAAAAACAAACATATATGCACTTTGCTACAGGATCCGTGAGGACAGGACTCAGACTGGGCACATCCTTGGAGACGTGGAGCACAGGAGGACACTGGGGACGTCTGACAGGGGCGTGTCCCCCGTGGTGTTTGTGCTGCTCCGTTTGCTCACCCACCTGTCCATGCTGCTGGGAGCCTCCAGAGACCCTCAGGTATCTCCAGAAATGCCTCCAAGGGGTCACACAGGATGTAGGGGAACCTTTGTGTGCTGCTGGTCCTTTTCACCACACTGCCAAGTGGCCAGGGCAGTCTGGCAGGATGCAAGACCCAAATTCCCTCCCTCCTTGCCCGGGAGAGATTTTGGTTAATTCCTCATTTCCATGCAGGCACACCCACCCAGCCCTGCCTTGATGGGCACAGGTAGCAGGAATCCCACACGTGGGGTGCCTGGCAGGACTGAGCTCTGTGTGCTTTGTGCTTCCCTGGATGTTTCTGGCTGTGCTCAGCTCTTGCCTTTGTTGTCTTCAGTCCCTGGGAAGGATGATCAAGCCAGCAGTGGAGGATGTGGTGAGCTTCCTGCAGCAGCACGTTCAGGAGGACCTGGCACAGCTGACCAGGATTTTGGGGAAGAGTGTGGATGACACCATCAACATCGTGCACCTGGTGCTCAGCAGGCTCCTGCAGGCCCCCCAGCAGCAGCCAGGCCAGTGTAAGCAAAGCCCCCTGCCCTGTCACTCCTGGGGCTGTGCTCAAAGGGCTGTGGCCATGCAGCCACCTTGCTGACAAACCCCTTCCAACAGCAGCAGTCAGCTGAGGAGGAAAATAGAGAGCTTGAAGCTGTTTCTTACTGTGGGGAGGGAAGAATTTTTGGCTGTTTGCTTCTTTCAGTCGGGTACATGGGGTTTGCAAGGTTTGGTGCAGTCAATAACTCTGAAAATGAATTATTGACAAAACAGTGTCATGACAGATGGGCACAGCTTGCAGCTCCTGAGCAGGGCTGCTTGTGCTGTGTGCAGTCCCTGTTCTGTGCTGCCTCTCAGTCACTCCCAGAAGCTCTCTGGGAGAAGAGGGATGGCACAGTGGGGCTCATGGTGGGCTCTGGAGTCACTGTGGCACAGAGGCATTAATGTGTAAATGGCCCCTGTTTGGAGGGTGGGCAGCACCAGTCAGTATTCCAAGCTTCACCCTGTCGTTGATCATGGTCTGACCTTGGACAGCCTGTTCAATATTTCTGGGGTTATGAAGGAGCTGTGTAAATGTCCCCATCATTCACATGAAGCTCCTGGAACCCTGGATCACTCTATGATGTTTGGGTGTCACTCTCCAGCTGGACCAAGATACTCCGTTAACTTCTAGCACCTGTGAATCTGTGCTTTCTTTTCACTGAGATATTGCAGATGTAAGAGGCGAAATATTCCTGTTGCAGGGCTGGTGCAGTTTGATGAGTTTCTGTCCACCAAGGGGAAGAGAAACAAATGGGAAGAAATTGTTGCAGACACAATTATTGTTCCTGAATTGGAGGTGAGAAATCTTCTATACAGAGTCAGCAGCTGAGCAGTTCAAAATCCATTGGAAATCTGATGTTCTGTAATATCTACACTTTTAACCTGGCTGTTCCCAAAGCCAGCCCTTCCATGGCACAGCTGCAGGTTAAGGATTAGCCACCTTTATCTACCTGGGGAAATGGGAGCCTGAGGCTGGGGTTGTTCTGGGGTGAATCTGTATAGCTGGAAAAGCAGAAATGGCTCAGCTCAGCTGAAGGCATTTCACACTATCCAATAATTTATTATTCTTTTAATGCAGGATTTGGATAAAAAGCTTCTCAAGTTGAACCGGCAGATCCAAGAGGATGAGAGAATCTCCTCCAACCCCATAGTGAAGCTGGTGTATGGGGACCCAGCTGCGTTCCTGTCCCAGCTGCCAGGGGACAGCCACGTGCACCACTCCAGGATGTGGAGCTGCCGCAGGAGGGTTTCTGTGGAGAACCTGGGCCACGTTGTGCAGCAGAAGAACGCCAAGGACGCCGTCCCTCTCCTTTGCAAGTTCCTGCAGAAGGTGGGGCTGGCACAGGGCTCAGAGCCTGGCATTGCCCAGGACTAAACCACGTTTGGATTATCTCAGTACTTGCCATGATCTTGAGAATGAACACGGAAGATATTGTTGTCTTTTAAACATTTAAGAAGTAATTCCATAAAAGTATTTTCCCAGCTGGTGTGTCCAAGCACAGCCTTACCCACAGGCTCCCTTTCCTCTTCCAGGAAAATGAGCTGAGGCTGGTGAAATTCCTACCAGAGATTCTGGCTCTGCAGAGAGATTTGGTGAGGCAATTCCAGAACACAGCAGAGATCAAACACTGCTCCATCAGGGAGTTCCTCAGGGAGCCCCACTCAGGTGAAGAGATGCTGCCAAAATTGTAATTAATGAAAAATAAAGTGCTGGATTGTCTGGTTGAAAGTGAAGGGGAAAACTCACCTTTTCCTTTTAACTCTCATCCAAATGAACTGAGACTTGGATAGGGTTGGAAAAGTTACCAGATGACTTTAAAGGGAATTAAGTACAGGAGATTTTTTATGAGGGGTGGGAGCTCTGTGCAGTGCAGCAGTGGTTCTGTGGGCATTTTAAATTCAGCCCTAGAGCAGGGCTTGCCTAAAGAGTGGGAATGAATGTTCTTCCCTTCCTTTCATGAAGTTTGTGGCAACTCCTTCAATTGTATTTAAGTACAATTACTGATGCTTTTAAGTACTTATGGAGAAGTACATAAAGGTCATGCAGGAGCAGACAATAATGGAAAACTAACAAACTGAGCCAATGACTCCATTTGATACCTTTAGAAAGGTGTTTGATGTCTGTTTAGTCTCTTGAGCAGTAGCCTGGAGTTCAGTGGTGTGCTCTGAAGATCCCTGTATTGGAGAGTCTCACCAGGAAAAGGCGTTTAATGTATTTATCTCTTTGTTGTTTCTCAGATGTGATGAGGGACCTGTTAGAGAGGAGAGTGAATGTGTTTCTGTCTGTCTGGAACAAGCTGAGAAGCTCCCTGGACACCAATGGTGAGCAGCTTCTTTCCCAGCCCTGCTCCTCGTGCTGAGTTCAGGTTCCTCCCATCACTGATGCTGAGGCATAGCCTCAAAACTGGGCTTGGCCATTGAATTTTAAGAATGTAGGTACAAGTGGAGGATTTGTTTCCCTGTTGTAGTATTCTGACCTGAACTTGTTTCCTTTCTCACCTGAACTTGTTCCCCTTCATGCTTGTCCCTCACACCGAGCGTGCAGCTTTTCTCAGCTCGGTGCCTCCTGCCCTGGCTAGCCTGGGTGCCTCTGGGCCCCTCAAACCCTGCTGTCTGTATTCCAGGGGAAATCAAGCTGCCCAAAGGCTACTGTGATGCTGAGCTGAGCCTGGACAGCAGGCTGGAGGTGCTGCTGCCGCGGTGCCAGGGGCTGGGGCTGTGCTCCACGGCGCTGGCCAGTTACCTGATCGGGCTGCACAACGACCTGGTGCACTCTGTGCACAGGCACACCAAGGAGGATGACAGGTGTGCTGCTCCCTGGGCTCTGCTGCATCCCTGCTCCCTCTCGGGCAGCTTTCCCCGCTCCCCAGAGGCCTCTCCCTTTGAGCACGGGCCCTCTGCTCCCTGCAGGTACCTGGTCAGCCCCTCGGAGGTGGCCGACCTGCACCTGATCAGCTACGAGGTGGAGAGGGACCTGATCCCTCTGATCCTGTCCAACTGCCAGTACAGCATGGAGAAGGGAGGGGAGACCTTGCAGGACTTTGACCTGGAGAGGATCCAGCAGCAAGTGATCAGCAAGTTCCTGCAGGGGAAGCCGCTGATCACGCTGACGGTAGGAGGGGCAGGGCGGTGCAGCCAGGAGGGCTCTGGGAGCACCATTCCAGGATTCACATCCCCGGCTTTCTGTCCTGACAGGGAATCCCCACCCTGGTGCACAGACACGACCGCAACTACGAGCAGCTGTTCGGTGATGTCAGGAACAAGCTGGAGCAGGTGGGTTTCTGCACTGCAGGAAGCAGGGCAAGCATGAAATCCCTGCTTTTCCAAGGGTTTTCTGTGCCTTGCCTTGTCCATCCAAAGCCTGCCTGCTGCTTTCTCAGCATGCCTTGGGCGCTGCAATCTGGCCTTGTGCTGCCAGTCAGGATTTACAAAGAGAAGGGAAATGCTGAAATAGTTCAGCATTTCAGTTTCCTAAGTCTGGGGCTCTGTTGTCTTCCTTGACTTGAACAGAAAAAGGAACGGCTCTAAAACAATATTAACCGCGACTTTGTGTTTTTCAGAGTGCCCTGCCCAGTTCTGTGATGAACATGATCAGCGGGGAGCTGCAGTCCTACAGTGATGTGTGTGATGCCCTGTCCCTCACTGAGATCACCCTGGGCTTCCTGGCCATGGCTGGTGAGAACGCTGACATGCTGCTGACCGAGTACATTGAGCAGGTTCTGCAGATGGGGGATCAGACAAACCCTCACGTGCTGCAGGTGAGTCCTGAGGGCAAAGCTCAGACCTTTGTGGGGCAAAATCTGGTTTATGCTAAATCCAGCCTGTGTGACAGAGCCCTCTCACTTTGCCCGTCGTGGTATCAAAAACTGGATTATTGAGGGCAGCTGGGGAAGGGTGAGAGGGCTGGATGAGCTCTGTGCTGGGCTTTCCTGGGCAGGGCAGGCTGGGGACAGGCTCCAAGGACACCCCTCACATCCACAGCTGTCCTTCTCTTCCAGGCCCTGAGACGGTGCCAGCTCAGGCACAGCATGGCCCTGTGGCAGCTCCTGTGTGCCCACAAATCCGAGCAGCTGCTGCGCCTCGGCAGGGTATGGCACCCCCAGCCCCTCTGTGTGAGCTCCTCTGCCCTGCCCTGCCCTGCCTGCAGCTGCTCAAATGTGCCTTTGGGTTTTTTCCTCCCCTCGCTGCATTTTTAGGATCCTTTTGCAGATGTCAGTCCAGACTACAAAGAAGAGCTCACCCCAGAGCTTGCCAAGCTCCTGCACACGTTCCTGGTGCACTGCAGGCTGGAAACCTTCCTGCAGGAGCTCCATGAAATGATCATCCTGAAGCTGAGACGTGCCCAAGCTGTGCAGGAATTCAAACCCACATGGAGGTAGGAGTTGCACACCCAAAGCCACCACGGTTGTTGTTAAGTGAAGCTTCTCTGCCTCTGAGCATGCACACAGTGGGAACACTCCCTTGGCACATGCATGGCCTGGGGGACACGGCCCAGGCAGCAGCATCAGGAATATCCACAGCCATTTCTGGCAGGTGTCACTTCCATCTCACACAGGCTCTCCTGGGGACACTGCTGGCCAGGGCACAAACACCAGCACTTCTGCAGGCACTTGGATAAAATAATAACAGAATCGCAAACTCATTAAGGCTGGAAACCTCCATGATGATCAAGGCCAGCCTCCAGGGATAGGCACAGCTCTGCCCTGCAGCCTGCCCTCACCTGGCTGTTTAACCCTTCTCACTACACACACACCTGTTCACTTGTGGGTATTGAGTATTTTGGGTGGGTGCACTGCACTCATACTGTGGAACTTGCGGGATTTTTCTTTTAGCTGTTAATGCCATTCTGCTCTGTCTTCCAGCCTGAAGGAATCACTCTTGCCTTACCTTGATGACAAAGACTCTGAGTTAGCTCTGGAGCTGGAAGACACATTCCCAGATGAGATTCTCCTGTCTCATGCCGCTGGTACCTGGAAAGCAGCTGCTGCCTTCAAGAGGGAGCACAGGGACAGTTAGGACAGAGCCCTGCCGGGGACTGCCACAACACCGTGTCAGGGCTTCTGCCACTCTGGGCATTTGTTTGGGGCTTGTTGGTTGTTCTTTGGGTTTGGGGTTGTTGTTGTTGTTTTTACACCTGATGTGAAGAGTGGCCGTGGAGGAGGGTGAAATAGACCCAGCAGCTCAGTGCGAACCCTGGATCGCCACAGCTCCAGAGCCACCGGAGGAACATGAAGGATTTTTTTACAAGCCATGGTGCCGTCGTGCCGGGGCAGGGTTGGTGTTTTCCTGCCTGTCTTTCTGCGCTGGCTGCAGAAGCGGCGCCTGCCCGGCGCCCCCGCACAGGGAGCCCTGAGGGCCGCGGCTCCTTCGCTGCCCGGCCCGCATCGGCCCGGCCGGCTTCTCCCCTCCCTTTAAATAAACTCGTTCAGCTCCCGCGCCTGCTCCCGGCTCCTTCCGCGGCGGGGCCGGGGAACGGGAACGGGATCGGGGCCGCCGGCCCGGAACGGCCGCGCCCGGCCGCGCTTTCCGGGGAGCGGCGGCGCTGCGGGACGGGCGGGCCCGGCGCCGCCATGGCCGCGTCCCCCGCCCAGCGGCGCCGCTGGGAACGGTAACGGGGCTGCGTCCGGGGCTGGGGCCGGGAGCGGTAACGGGGGTCCGGCTGGGACGGTCCCCGGGGACCGCCCGGCGGCGCCGCTGGGAGCGGTAGCGGGGCTGGGGCAGTTACGGGGCTGGGGCCGGGAGCGGTAACCGCGGTCGGGCTGGGAGCGATAACGGGGGTTGGGCTGGGACGGATCCCGGGGACCGCCCGGCGGCGCCTCTTGAGGGCGGTAACGGGCATCGGGCTGGGAGCGGTAACGGGGCTCGGGGCTGCCCGGCACCGCGTCCCGACAAGGCACGGGCACCCTCGGCGCGACTCGCCGGTGCTCCGGCCCCGGTTGAGGTTTGCGGCTCCCCGGGGAGGGAACGGGGCGCGGTCCGGGCCGGGGCTCGGGGAGCGGCCCCGCTGTGATCGCGGCCGGCCCGCAGGGAGCAGGCCCGGCTGAGGGCCAGCGTGCTGGAGGAGGACACGGAGCCCTGGCAGAAGCAGCCGCAGTTCGCGGGGCTGCGCAGAGTGGGAGGCGTGGATCTGTCCTACAGCAAGGGGGACGAGAGCCGTGCCTGCGCCTCCCTGGTCGTGCTCAGCTACCCGGACCTGCAGGTACCGCCCGGCCCGGGGTCTGGGGCGGCGGGAGGTGGGTATGGGGAGGAATGCTCGCTGAGAGGGTGGGCAGGCCCTGGCACGGGCTGGGGCTGCCCCTGGATCCCTGGCAGTGTCCCAGGCCAGGCTGGACACGGCTGGAGCAGCCTGGCACAGTGCAAGGTGTCCGTGCCTGCCCCAGGTGCTGTACCAGGACTGCCGCATGGTGCCCGTCACCGCCCCGTACGTGGCCGGGTTCCTCGCCTTCCGAGAGGTGCCTGTCCTGGTGGAAGCCGTGCAGAGACTTCAGCAGGAGGAGCCCCAGCTCCAGCCTCAGGTGTGCTGCTTCCCTTGTCCCGAGCTGGGCTGCAGAATCCCAGGGAAGGTGTTCTCCCTCCGGAGCCTGAGCTGCTGGGACAGGAGGGGCAGGGACAGAGATGTGCTGGAGCATCCATTCCCTTTCCTTGGGGAGCTGGGAGCAGCCAGGCCTCCTGCGGGAGCCCATGGTGTGTGCCAGGCACTGCCAGTCCCACACTGCTGCTGCTTCAGGTCAGGCAGTCAGGAGGAGCCTTTCAGGGAGAACTGAGGAACCAAGAGAGATTCCTCCTTGCTCCTTGGAGTGCTCTCAGTGCCCAGGCAATAACAGTTCTGTTTGACTTTTTCAGGTGCTTCTGGTGGATGGGAATGGCCTGCTCCATCCCAGAGGTAGGCTGTTCCTGCAGAGCCCTGTGCTGCTCCTTGGCGTTCCTGTTCCCTGGTGTTCTGCAGCTACAGTGGCTCCTTGTCGGCAGAGTTTGGCATAGCGTGTCACCTCGGAGTCCTGACAGACCTGCCGTGCATCGGCGTGGCCAAGAACCTCCTGCACGTGGATGGCTTGGTCAGGGATGAGCTGCACAAGGAGCAGGTTAGGCCAGGCTGGGGTTTGGTTTTTCACATCCCAGGGGAATTTGGGCAGCCATCTACAATGATGAGCTGATGCGTGTGTGTTTATCCCCAGGTTCGTTCCCTGCAGAGGTCAGGAGAGGCATTCCCACTGACAGGCACCTCGGGGAAGGTCCTGGGCATGGTAAGCTCTCACTTGTCCCTCTCCACCGTGGGGCTGTTTCAGTGATGCCCTGCAGGTGAGAACAGGTGACCAGTGGCACTGCTGGCCCCTTCCTGAGAGCTCAGGTGGCTGCGGGGAGCTGGCAGCTCAGGTGCTGGGAGCATTGCCGTCCGTGGCTGTGGCACTGAGGTGCTCCAGCAGCCTGGATGGTGAGCTGCAGCCTGGGACAGGTGCCAGTTCCCTGGCAGCTCCCGGGGATCGGGCTGGGAGCGGCTGATTCAGAGCAGAGCAGGAGCAGGCAGCTGGGAGACTCTTCCTGTGGGTGCTGTCAGCCTGGGCTGGCACAGCTCCCGCATCCCAGAGCAGCCTCGGGCGTCTGGGGAAGGGACACGGGGACAGACAGGAGGCACTGGGCTGGGGAAAGTGTTCAGGAAGGCTGGGAGCTGCCAACACACAGCCACCACCCCACCCCAGGGCTCTGGCTGGCTCCTAACTCCAGTACCCTGTGTGTGTGTTCAAACGAGCCTCTCCAGTGCCTGATCTCTCCTCTCTGGCTGCCCAGGTGCTGCGGAGCCACAGCAACAGCTCCAGGCCCCTGTACGTGTCCGTGGGGCACCGGGTGAGCCTGGGCACGGCCGTGTCCCTGGTCAGGGCCTGCTGCCGCTTCCGCATCCCGGAGCCCATCCGGCAGGTACGGCACCCCTGGGGCAGGGGGGGCACCCCTGGGGCAGGTACGGCCCCCCTGGGGCATGGGGGGCACCCCTGGGGCAGGTATGGCACCCCTGGGGCATGGGGGGCACCCCTGGGGCAGGTACGGCACCCCTGGGGCAGGTACGGCACCCCTGGGGCAGGAACGGCCCCCCTGGGGCATGGGGGGCACCCCCGGGGCAGGTACGGCGCCCTTGGGGCAGGTGTTGCACTCCTGGGGCAGTGTTTGCCGAGCCCTGGGCTGCTCAGAGCCTCAGCTGCCCCTCCTGTGCTGGGCAGTTCCCCAGCCCCTGGTGCTGCTCGCTGGTCCTCCCAGGCCCGTTCCCCTGAGCGGTGCCCGGCAGCGTTGCCAGCCCTGCCTGCAGTGCCAGCCTGACTGATGCCCTGCCCCGCTGCTGTCAGTGCCCGGGAGCTGGCAGTGCGGCTTTCCCGGGCGCTGGCAGCCCAGCACGGCCGCAGTGCCGCCCCTCTGGGCCTCTCCCGCCGCACGGAGCCGGCAGCCAGCAGGTGACAGCACTGCATCACCGTCGCCGGCTGCAGCTGCCCCCGCGGCTCAGCCTGGGCTGCTTTGAAATCGCAGCACAACTCGGGGAAAGGCTCTGGAGGAGCTCAAAGCCTCTGGGACCTCTGGCCTGGCCTTCCCTCGTACCTGAGGTGACCCTGCTGTTGGTGGCTCCAGAGCCAGGAGTGACCCCGGGGTGTCCCTGTCCCTAACACTGCCCTGGGACAGCCCCTTGGCATCGCTGCTGTGCCAGGCTGGGGGATCAGGGGTGTGCCCACCTGAGCAGCCCCCGGGGCAGTGCTGGGTGACCCTGCTGCTCCAGAGCTGCAGCGTTCGCTGGGACTGAGATCTGCTCACAAGCTACCCCAGAGTCTGAGCTCCTTGGAGCAGAGCAAGCCTGGGGTGTCCAAGCAGAGCTGCAGTTCCCAGCCCCAGCCCCAGTACCTGCCAGACTGGGGGAGGCTGCTGGAGCTCCTTATGTAACCTGCTCCAGCCAGGACAGATGCCTCTGCAGAGCTCGAGCCAGCTCTGCAGTCTGTGTTCAAAGGGAAGGAGAAGCATTCCCTTTGGAAACAGAAAGGTGTCTTGGAGCTTTTCATCACCCTCATTTCGCTTCCAGCCATCTCCAGGATTTGCTCGTGTTCGAAGACTCTTCCAGTTCCCTGTGACCTTTTTCTTGGAGTGATGGAATGAATTATGATCACTTTTCTTACAGAGAGATGAGAAATCCAACAGGGGAGTGTGTTTACTCTAGAGGGATGGCAGGAGATGAGGACACTTAAACCTTTCCATGGGACTGGTCCCTGCTCTGCTTCCTCTGTGGTGACTGCCACAGCTCTTGGCAAGGCAGGGCTGACAGCCTCAGCTCCTGAGCTCCTGCAGCTGGGGTTGGGATGTAGGAGGCTGTGGAGAATCCTGCCATGGGTGGCTGGCGTGGCCTTTTTGCCGTGGTACATCTCCAGAAACTGCAGACCTGACAGGAGAAGTGCTTACAGTGTCAGGAAGGACCTGTGGATCACCAGGTCCTGCTCTGGAAGTTCTGGCAGGCCTGGAAATGGTTTGTGAGAGCTCAGCTTTGCACAGCTCCTGGGGTTTGTGTGAGGGCAGCATGTGCAGCGCAGCTGCTGTGGCAGCTCGGGCTCCTGCTCCAGGGGATGTGGTGCTTCCCAGGAATGCACATTACCAGGCAGGGAGCAGCAGGCTTCCATTTGCATTCAGCCCACAGCGTGGCTGTGCTGCCAAGGAGCTGGCTGTGGTGCAGATGAGAGGAGTGAGATCTCGCAGGAAGCAGGGGGATGAGCTGCCCTTGTCACCTGCAATCAGTATTTACATCCCACTCAGTCCTTGTCCCACGTGCCAGGCCCAGGCAGCAGAGCTGTGCTCCTGGTGAGGCCCTGCAGGGAGCTCCCAGTGCAGCCCAGCACGGCCTGAGGGGCCCTGGAGCAGCCCAGGCCCTGCTGAGAGAGCTGCCCTTGCTCCTGGCACAGGTCAGAGCCCTTCCTGGTGCACCCTGCTCATTCCCAGCTCCCTGTGCCCTCCCTGGTGCACCCTGCTCATTCCCAGCTCCCTGTGCCCTCCCTGGTGCACCCTGCTCATTCCCAGCTCCCTGTGCCCACCCTCCCTGGTGCACCCTGCTCATTCCCAGCTCCCTGTGCCCTCCCTCCCTGGTGCACCCTGCTCATTCCCAGCTCCCTGTGCCCACCCTCCCTGGTGCACCCTGCTCATTCCCAGCTCCCTGTGCCCTCCCTCCCTGGTGCACCCTGCTCATTCCCAGCTCCCTGTGCCCTCCCTGGTGCACCCTGCTCATTCCCAGCTCCCTGTGCCCACCCTCCCTGGTGCACCCTGCTCATTCCCAGCTCCCTGTGCCCTCCCTCCCTGGTGCACCCTGCTCATTCCCAGCTCCCTGTGCCCTCCCTCCCTGGTGCACCCTGCTCATTCCCAGCTCCCTGTGCCCTCCCTCCCTGGTGCACCCTGCTCATTCCTAGCTCCCTGTGCCCTCCCTCCCTGGTGCACCCTGCTCATTCCCAGCTCCCTGTGCCCACCCTGGTGCACCCTGCTCATTCCCAGCTCCCTGTGCCCTCCCTGGTGCACCCTGCTCATTCCCAGCTCCCTGTGCCCACCCTCCCTGGTGCACCCTGCTCATTCCCAGCTCCCTGTGCCCTCCCTCCCTGGTGCACCCTGCTCATTCCCAGCTCCCTGTGCCCTCCCTGGTGCACCCTGCTCATTCCCAGCTCCCTGTGCCCACCCTCCAGCTGCCAGGGCTTGCACCAGGAGCCTGCTCTGCTCTCTCTGGGTCAGGTTCTGCCCAGCCTCCTGCTCACCTGCTGCTTCCTTCAGCTGCCCCTGGGTGCCCAGGGGGTTGGGCTGGCTCAGGAGGGGCTGCTGGCACAGCCTGAGGGTGCTCCAGCCCAGCAGGAGGGGCAGGACTGCAGCTCACCCTCTGTGAAACGCTGAGCACTCGCCCTCAGAAGAATAAGACAGGGCACCAGCCTCTCTGGCACTGGGCAGCAGTCACTGCTGTCTCTGGGGGCACCTTTAGCAGAATGAGACAGGGCACCAGCCTCTCTGGCACTGGGCAGCAGTCACTGCTGTCTCTGGGGGCACCCCTTCCAAGCCTGCTGTGCCCAGGGACCACCCTGGCCCCTCAGGTAACAGGCAAAGCAGCATTTCCACAGGCAGCACTGATCCCCTCTGAAAATAGCCCAGATCTGTGAGGATTATTGCTGGGCAGTGATCCATCTTATTGATTAGCCCGTGGTTAATCAGCACCTTAAGCTGACTCCAGTGCTGTGCTGGGAGTGAGCCCTGCCTGGGAACTGCCACCTCATCAAGCACTAGCTGGTGTTCTCGGCACAATGTGCTTGGGGTTTTTCTTCCCTAGAAGAAGAGCTGGTAGCTGTGGCTGCTGCTCCTTGCTGTGCCCGTGGGGACCACTGAGCAGCCTCCTTGCCTGGTTATAAAATCCATCACGTAATCGCTTATCCTGAAGAGTGATCAAAGTTATTTGTCAGTTCGGTTATGAAACTGTCCAATTATAGAGAGGAGGGAAAAAAATCTCCCAAACAAACCACCCCTTCCTTACGTAACTCTCCTCCTCAGCTGGCAGGAGGCTCTGCAGTTGTGGAGCAGGTTCCAGCAGCAGGCACAGCCTCCACCAAGGCCTGGGGGCTGCAGGAGAGGCTCCTGGGCAGCAGCACGGGGTGGAGAGCAGCAGAGCTTCAAGGACAGTCCCCAGGGATGTGCTAACCCAGTTTCTGAGCTCGTCACCAGACACTGTGAAGCTTTTCCAGCTGGGAAGGTCACATCCTGCTTTGTAGGTGGGGAGAGACGCTCTGCCTTTGAGGTGGGCACAGCAGCTGCTCGGAAACGGCACAGGAGTTTCTAAAAGAGGAAAAACTTTGAAGGACTGTAAAAATCAACTGGCACTCCTCAAGGTTGTCCAGGAGCCCGGGATGTGCTTGTGGTGGCATCAGGGGTGTGCTGCTGGTGTCGTGCAGCACTGGAGGGCTGAGCAAGCACCTCAGAGTAGGGGTAGGGACACCCAGTGAGTGCCCAGCAGCCCTTGCTAACAGCTCTGGGCGCGCCTGGTGCTCTCCTTGGTGTGTTCCTGGTGGGACGTGCTGACAGCAGGGCGGATGGGCACACTGGGGTTACAGCCGGGCTGCTCAGCCCATGCCCGCTCCTTCTGCTGTTCTGTTCCAGGCTGACATCAGGTCCAGGGAGTACCTGCGGAGGCAGCCCTGTGCTCCCGTGGAGGGGCTGCAGGCCGTGCCTGGCAGCCCTCAGAGGTGGGTGTGTGGGCAGAGGGCACCTGCTGTGCCACGAGCTGCGCTAATGGCATTAAGGGTCCAGGCAGGGTAACGGGGTGAGCTCGTGGGGAGGTGAGGACATGTGCAGCCTGCAGGAGGTGATTCCTGCTCCCTGTGGCCACGCTGCCTCACACGCTGTCCTGAGCTGGCAGGGGCAGCAGGGATTTGCTCTTTTTTCAGCAAAGCCCCAACGCCCACAGGTGTGACCTGAGGGGGACAGAAATACCTGCAGGGAGCTGCTTTTGGCCCCAGGCCCTGGGGAGGGTCAGAGTCCTCCTCTCTTACATAAGGTGGGGCACTGGGTGTCAGTTCAGGGCTAAATCTGCCCCTGGGCTGCAGGAGCTCAACTCACCAAGTGCCAGTTGTTTGTGCCTGTTGGCTTCTACTTCTTGTAAAACTGCTTCCTATTTTCTTTTTCATCCCTGCAGCAAAAAGGAGGCTGAATCAGAGGATTAGCCTGGTGCCAGAAGAAATTGCAGAGCTTCTCTTCACTGGGTCCTGTCCTGCACAAGGCTGAGTCCTGCTGGGTGCAGGAGCCCAGTGCCACCCTGGGGACAGCTGTGCCAGGCTGTGTCCCGCAGCACAGCACCAGCCACTGCTCGGGGAGAGTCCTTGCAGTGAATTTCTCAGGGTTCCTTTTCCAGTACTGGTAAAGTCTTTGTGTGAGCAAAGCTCACGTGAGAGTTTGCAGCACCTCCCTGGAGTCCTTGTGCAGCTGCAGGGCTGATTTGCAGAGGGGCTGAGGCACTGCAGAGGCAGCCTGTGTGTGCCACCACACCTCTGTGGCTCTCTGAGAGCCCTCCCTTCCCCCTGATTTTGGAGCAGTTCCCCTGTCCCTGCAGCCTGGGCTCTCATTGCCCCTGCACATCATGGGGAGCAGCAGCCCCACTTGCAGCTCTCCTGGAGGAGGGATCATCTCAGGGGAAAGGATGGGAGGAACCATCACCCATCGCCCTCCCAGGGGCATGGGGAGGTCATTCCTGGCACAGAGAGAGCTCCAGGTGCCCAAATCCCAGCCTGGACACCTGGCCCAGCCCCAGCTCAGCCTGAGGAGCAGAGCCCGGAGCTTCTGTGCCCAAATCATCCTCAGCCCTGGTCCATCCTGCAGGACCAAGGCTGCTCCCAGGGTGAGGGGTCCTGGCTGGGGCTGGCAGGTGGCTCCTGACTGTTCTGAGGAGCAGAAGGTGCCCTGGGAGATCCTGGTGTGGCTGTGAAGATTCCAGCCTGAAGAAGATGGCAGCTTTCCTGGGGGTGGGGAGGGGCCCTGTGGGCTGTTTCACCTCCATTTTGCATAAATTTGTTGTACAACTCTTGTTCTTTTCTGTCTTGGAGCTGCTCTGGGTGGGGAGGACAAAGCCCAGCCCCTTGTGTCTCTGCTGTGTTGGGTCTGAACCGGGTGGGGAAAGGGGGGAAGTGACAAATCCTGGGGCCAGCAGGGCAGGGCTGGGGCTGTCGTGGCACTGCTGGGGACAGGGGAGACAGGGACAGCCCTGTCCCCTCCCTGCAAGGACACAGAACCTCCTCTGCCATGGCCTGAGGGAGCAGGGTGGGACAGCCACAGGCAGCAGGGATCAGTTCATTCCTCATTCCAGCCCCACACACACAGCGACTTCTCTGGCCATGGGACAGTGTCCTAAAGCCTGGCACAGATTCAGGCACCAGTGACAGGGTGGGCAGGGACAGCTCCTTCCCAGAGCTCATGGCAGAACACCAGGGAATCACCTGGGCTTCTGATTTGGCCTGTGCTGGGAGGGTCATCCCTGGCCCATCCCAAATTCTGGGTGACACCATTGGTTCAGCCCAGGTGTGCTGAATGAGGCTCCTCATTGTGGGTGCAGATTGACCCCAGGTGTGCTGAATGGGGCTCCTCATTGTGGGTGCAGTTTAACCCCAGGTGTGCAGAATGAGGCTCCTCATTGTGGGTGCAGTTTAACCCCAGGTGTGCGGAATGGGGCTCCTCATTGTGGGTGCAGATTGACCCCAGGTGTGCTGAATGAGGCTCCTCATTGTGGGTGCAGTTTAACCCCAGGTGTGCGGAATGGGGCTCCTCATTGTGGGTGCAGTTTAACCCCAGGTGTGCTGAATGAGGCTCCTCATTGTGGGTGCAGTTTGACCCCAGGTGTGCTGAATGAGGCTCCTCATTGTGGGTGCAGATTGACCCCAGGTGTGCGGAATGGGGCTCCTCATTGTGGGTGCAGATTGACCCCAGGTGTGCTGAATGAGGCTCCTCATTGTGGGTGCAGATTGACCCCAGGTGTGCGGAATGGGGCTCCTCATTGTGGGTGCAGTTTAACCCCAGGTGTGCTGAATGAGGCTCCTCATTGTGGGTGCAGTTTAACCCCAGGTGTGCAGAATGAGGCTCCTCGTTTGGCTCTGAGGGGAGCAGCTCCTCCAGGCTGGCCCTGGCAGAGCAGAGGAACCTTCAGAGTGTGGGACTGTGGCTCCTCCTGCCCTGGTGAGTGTCTGGCTTTCATCTCACGTTTAATGCCTGTGGTTTTAATCCCTGATCCGTTGGTGACATTTTTGTGTGTTTCTGGTTGGTATTTGCCAATGGGGGATTTGGGGTGGGCTGGTCAGGGCAGGCTCTGCAGCCAGAGCTGGGATTTGGGTGGAAGCTGGAGGAATCCACCCCAGCTCAGACAGGAATGTGAGGCTGTGGCTGCTCAGGGTCTGTCTCTGGGTGCCCCTGCTGGGATCTGGGTGTTTGGATCCATGGAGGGTCCGTGTGCTCAGCCTGCGAGGGACCCAGGGCTGGGGACACTGCAGGGGACTCTGCTGGCCTGAGCCCCCCCAGCTGCCTCTGCCCGTGGGTGAGGGAAAATCAGGTGAAAAATAAAAACAGCATAAAAACCAGCTCTGCATCACTGCCCCGGCTTCCCTCTGCGTGAGGCCCTGACCTCCTCCCGAGCCCAGGTGAGCTCAGGTGGCTCTGGATGAGTCACCTGGGGAGGGGATGGTGCTGCAGTGCCCTGTGAGCCCTGCTGGGGCTCTGTGCCTTCGGGATGCTCTCCCAGCTGCCCAAACGTGGCAGTTCAGCCCTTCCTAAAGGAAGGGACTAATCTCTGTGTTTGGTGTCTGCCTGTGGCTCTTTGGACACAATAAGGGATTAACTTGGTCTTTATCTAATTAGTTTATAACCCTGGGAAGGGAAAATCGCTTGGTAATGCTCGAAACCTCTTAACAGAAACCCAGAGACTGGAGCTTGAGTGTCCTTCGAAATAAACTCATACATGGCTTGTCTATTTTAACTCTGTGTTTGCTGGGAATTGGCTTTTCTGGGTGTAACTTGTTGGAATCAGAGAATAATTATTGCTGACTGGTTGTGAATCCTCCTGTTATCACCGGGGGGTTTCTCTCAGCATTTCCACCTGGGGCTGGCTGGGTGGAGGTGCTGGGGATGAGCTGCGGGGCTGGGGCAGGGATGGGGCTGCCCCAGGACGGCTCCTGGGTGACAAACGGGGCAGAATTGCTTTGGCCTTGGGTTCCTGACTCCCAGGTGCCCAATGGCTCTGCTGCAGGTTCTCTGGATCTGCTGCCCCTGTTGTGTCCTGGAGAGCAGGAAGGCGGATCCCTGCGCCTGCCTTGTTTATCCTGGTCCCAGGAGAGGGAGAGGAGCTGCTCTGGGATGCAGTTCTGTTTGTTCCCTGGTGTCTGAGGCGGCCTGGCTGAGCAGCTCCGTGCCAGGTGCCTGAGGCTGGGTGGGATGAGCTCCCACCTCCGTGTCTGGAGCCTGTGGCAGTGTAGGTGCTGCCTGTGCAGTCTGAGCTCCTGTGACTCAGGGTTTGTATTTTGGGACGCTCCTGTGAGCACGGGGGAAGCGTTTCACTGGGGTTTCCCCCCTCCCTGGCCCCTGTTCTCATTCCTGTTCCCTTTGGTGTGTTTGGGAGGGTTCGGGAGGGGCTCTTTCCCTCCTGGCTCCCCAAACCAGGTCCAGCTGCGGCTCTGGGTGCTCGCCCTGGCTGTGGAGCTGGGCCCAGCAGCTGAGCCCCTTCCTCCCCCCATTCCCGGAGCCTTTGGTGTTTGTGGGGCTGGCAGGGACAGCTGTGTCCCCTGGACCTCGGAGCATTCCCAGCTTTGGGCTCTCAATGGGCGTCTTTAGTGCTGCTGCCTCCCTCCCGTGGCAGCTGAGGCCTCTTGGATGTGGTGGCTCCTGGGCAGAGCCGGGTGTGCAGAGGGAGCTGGGAAACGTCATTGCTCCCTTGCAGGGCTTTTGGTTCCTTTTTTTTTTTTGTCCTTTTGTCCTTTTTTTTTTTAATATTCCCCCTCCTTTTGTCCTATAAATAGTTCTCCCCCCAACTGCTCTTCCCGTTGTTGGTGTTGATTGATCCTCCCTGATCCTCTCACCAGTGCCCCGCCAGCCCCCCCGGCTTTATTTTAAGGTCCCATTAATTAAAAGCAAATGAGTGGAATTTCTCTTGACAAGCAAATTAATAGCAAATGAGATGATTATGAGCTGTGTCATTAGGGTGATGGAGCAGCTTGTGCAGGGCTCAGCCCCAAGCAAGGCAGCAAATCCGAGAGGCAGCAGATCTCCCCTGTTGGGGGCTGGAGCTGCTCCCTTCCCTTCCCTTCCCTTTGGTAGCCCAGGAGCCGCTGATGCTGAGCAGAACCCCGAGACTCCTCAGGGGCTGCAGGGGGAGGGCGCAGAGCAGGGGTGCAGGGGGTGGCTGCTCTCGGGGGTGCACCCATGGGTGCTCTGGGGGTCCCCAGGAGCCGGGTCCGTCCATGGGGACACGCCGGGAGCGCCTTGTCCGCACCCCGCATCAGCTTTGGAACCACGAAGCGAGGCTGTGGGAGCAGCCCGTGGTGGATTCCTGAGCCCCGGGGGCTCGGTGCAGGATGCTTCCTTAGGAACGCGCTTTTCTTTCCCTGCTGTCCTTGGCACGGCGTGCCCGTGCCCGCGGAGCCCGGCCGGGCACTGCCCGGAGCTCGGGGCTCTGCTCGTGGGGCTGTGGAGAGACCTGGGGCATTCCCTGCTCTGGGCAGACACGAGGGGCTTCCCTCAAACAGCTGTGAGACCCCGCCGGCTCCTTCCCCTGTCCCTGTGTCTGTCCCTGAGCCGCCCCTTCCCTGCTCCCTGCTCGGCCCCGAGAGCAGGGTCAGCCCCCAGGCCCCGCAGAGAGAAAGCGAGACCCTCTGTGTCATGTGCGGCCGAATGAAACATCTCTAGTTGCTGTGCTGAGATCCTCTTTGCTTCCTTACCCTGCACCATGCTAGCAGCAGTTCAGACCGCTGCTCCGAGAGCTCCGGGAGCGCTGGGCTGCCCGCGGCTCCGTCTCGGAGCCGGGGCTGTGTTCGGGGGCTCGGTTCGGGGGGCTGTGCTCCGAGCCCACAGCTCCATCTCGGAGCCGGGGCTGTGTTCGGGGGGCTCGGTTCGGGGGGCTGTGCTCCGAGCCCACCGCTCCATCTCGGAGCCGGGGCTGTGTTCGGGGGCTCGGTTCGGGGGGCTCGGTTCGTGGGGCTGCGCTCCAAAATCCTGCTGGGATCCGAGACCCCCCGGGCTGCCCCCAGCTCCATCTCGGAGCCGGGGCTGTGTTCGTGGGGCTCCCTCGGTTCGTGGCGCTGTGCTCCGAACCCGCAGCTCCAGCTCGGAGCCGGGGCTGTGTTCGTGGGGATGCCCGCAGCTCCAGCCCGGGGCTGGGGCTCTCTCGGTTCGTGGCGCTGTGCTCCGAGCCCGCAGCTCCAGCTCGGAGCCGGGGCTGTGTTCGTGGGGCTCCCTCGGTTCGTGGGCCCCGGCAGCGCCCGCTCCCCGCGTGGGAGGCTCCACCCGCGGCTCCCGGCTCGTGTTGTGGCTGCAGCCGCGTGTCTGGCGAGGGAGCGGCTCCCGCCTGTGCGGGGAGGAGGAGGAGGCGGCGATCAGCCGGGCCGGGGATGGAGGGACAGCCCGCGGGAAGGGAGGGGAGG